GGGTCCTGACAGAGCTATGATGTCCAGGATGTCCACGAGACACAGATCCACAAAGAGCCATTTCACCACCACCCCAACCCCTCACGCCCCATCTTTCAGATACTGCAGTCTCTGACATGACACGCCCTGTCTCCTGTTTGCACATGACCCTTGGACCTCTCTAGATTACTTGTAATAGCTTAGCCGAGCAAACACCAAACCAAGTTACACTGCCGTTCAGCAACAAGGAAAGTGTCTGTGTACTCTCCGCGCAGGAAGTCTTTTCCTTCCCGTATATTTTCAATCCAAGCCTGGAGAACTAACTAACCCGGAGGACTCGCTGTGACCAGGGGAAATGCAACATTAGAGAACTGGACATCGAGGCAGGGGTGGTGACGCACGCTTAACCCACACTTGGGCAGCTGAGGCAGGAGCATCGCCGCAAGTTCAAGCTACACAGCAAGACACCTTCCCATTCCTTAACCCTCACTCCACCTCATCTTAAAGCAAGCAAACAAACAAAAAAGGCCTTGCCCAAATTTGGACGTGGGAGACCCCAGGAGAGCAGTCTCTCTTCAAAGCAGGAAGTGGGAATCAGTCCCAGAGGGTTAATGCTTCTGCTACCTCAGCTATGAAGATCATTTAGCACCCAGGGCTTCCTGTCCCCATTGCTAGCCCTCGGCCATGCTGGTAGTGAAGCTGGTTCCAGCTGGAGTCATCCAGGAAGCTGGACAGAGGTGTAACGGGCTGGACAGCTTCCGAGCTAGGTTTCTTCTGTCTGTCTCTCCTGGTGACGGGAGCTGAGCGCTTCAGGAGGGTAGTGTGTGGGAAGATGGTGGCTTTGAGCTGGTTTTAGTCCCCTTTCACCAAATAATTATATTTAATACCTCCTCTTGGTTTTTATGAACTTCCCCTATTTTTTTTTTCTTTTGGAGCGTTTCTTTTCTGTCTTGCTCTAATCATTGCTGCTTTTTTCTCTAGGCATTTATAGCCCCAAATTACTCAACTTCGATTTATTATTCTTATCAATTACTGCTTTCTTTTTTCCTCGGCTCTTTGAGCTGTTTTTTTTTTTGTTTGTTTGTTTGTTTGTTTGTTTTTTGTACGGCATTTGCTCGGGACATTTTTGCCCCCTTTAATGCCTGACTGTGGCCTCCTTCAGACCAGGAGGCTTGACTTCACTTTGCCTCAGATTGAAATAGTGCCCCTCCTGTGCCATCAGTTTTCACTGAATCACACTCTGGGCTGTTCCCAGGCACGCTGTTGTGTGTTTGTGCACGTTGGAATTACCGTAAATGCTCGAGTAGAAGTCCCACTCATGTAAAGTCTTAATTTTCTCCGGGCAAGGAACCATTCCTTACGGTGTCTCTCTGGAAATCTCTCGTCACGGCGGCATGGTGGAAGCTGTTACGTTTTCACCCACCACGCTGCAGTTAGAGAAAGACACTACGCTTGCTTTGAGTCACCGATGACTCCAGGGCTCTAGCGGACATCCTAGGAGTCTGGCAGAAGGGGCGATGAAGACAGTGAACACGATGCCTGCCTCACAACTTCTGAAAGAGCGGCTCCCGGATGCGATGGCTTCTGAGACTAGACTGAAAACAACCGTTGACTGGTTAATTTAGGGGGGTTTAAATGGGTGCTTGTTGCTCAGGGGTCCATGCAAAGTATTGACAGACACAGATACAAATTTATAGGTTAGCCAGTGTTATAGCTCGGTGGGAGAGCACTTGCTGGAGTGGGCAAGGATGCAGGACGAGACCTCAGCAGCCGAGGAAAGTGAGCTGTTCCATTGTAAATGTCTAGTTCAGGAGGATTAGCTGCCACAGTGGGGAACCCGAGGACCCTTTGCTTCTGACTTGACAAGCAGTAGGTAGTGACACTGTTTCACGAGCCATGAGGCGAGGGTGTGTGCACATAATTCTCAAGTTAGGGCCAGGGCACATACCTGTTAAAGAGAAGCTTTTTCTTTGAGAGAAGCCTTCAGCCAGCCTGGTTCTAGAGCCACATCAGTCCCAAATAAACACACAGGAGGCTATATTAATTATGAAGCTGTTGGCCTTGCTTGTTTCTTACTGGCTAGCTCTGGCTTAAGTAATTACCCCATAATTGTTAATCTAAGTATTTCTCTTACCGGAGAATAGTTCCGGGCTTCCTACCCCATGGCGGTTACATCTCGAGCTCTCTTGTGTTTCTCCTTCCCAGAATCCTCCTGGACTCCTAGTCCCACCTATCTAGATTCCTATTGGCTCAACAGTGCTTTATTGACAAATGTACAGGATTTCCCCCATCACATACCTTTACTTCAAGAACGTGGGAAGCAGAGGCAGACAGATGTCTGTGAGTTCCAGGCCAGACTGGTCTACAGAGCGAGTTGTAGGCCAGCTAGAGCTACACGGTGAATTGTGTGAACATTTAAGTCTATTGTCTTTTGTTTACATGGTGTTGGGGCATGAATCCAGGGTTCTTGTAACTTTATAGTCTAATGGCATATTGCAACTTCAAAGCTAAATACTAGCCAGAGTGACTCTGTAGTCCCAGCACATTCCTGACCATTTATATTATATACTTTCTAAAATCCCGATTCATAGGGGCAAGTTTGCTTATTGGGAAAGCAGGCGGGGCTGCCTTATATTTGGGGCAACCTTAAGAGCAGTTTCCAAGTGGACGGTTTCTCTTGAGCTGGAGATGCACGGACTTCTCCCCAGCTGTGTGCGCTTTCAGCAGACAGTATATATTAATATTCTCAGACTTGATGCCAACACACCCCTCGTCCACACGCCAGGCCCCAAGGCTCCCAGCAGCCTTCTGGTTTTGAAACCCCTGGACCCCACCCCCATGTTTGGTACCTTGATTCTTCCCATTCTGAAATCCACCCTTGGTTGTGCCAAGGCTGCCCAGTCCTGTTGCAAATGGCTGTACTCCTCGGGGGTCCTGTGCACATCGATTTGACTTGATTCCCCCACTTCCAGTTTTCTACCCTGCCCCTGGGCAGTCCCATATCTTCCCCAAGCTTCGTCTCTCACTCATACCGACTTGAGAATGGTTACTGGTAGGCCAGATCCTGCATCCAGCTTGGCTGCACAGTGCTGTTACTGTTATCTTACACGCAGGTCTGTTGCCAGTGTTTAAAAATCGAGACCAAATGAAGAGCTCCGGAGTTTTGCAAAATGGACAGGCTGGCAGCGTGGTGACTGGGCTCTAGCAACTGTCCCTATGAAGCGGGACGTCACTCTTCTTTTGATGGCGCCCGTTTGTTTACAGACATGGGTGTAAGGTGTCAGCCGCCGTTTTCTGTTTCTTCACACGCTCCCCATGATAGGCACAAGGAAAGGAGCACTGACTTTCTGATTTTTCTATCCTAGTGTAGGGAAATTACATCGGGGGCCAACCAGAGCAGATGTATATAAATGTGTGTATGTGCGCATTTATGGAAACGTTTTATTTAAAAATAGGATTGTAAAAGAATTCCATGTGCGTGAGTATTTTGCCTGTATGTGTGGATAGGCACTGTTTGTGTGCATTCATAGAGCCTTAGGAGGCCAAGAAGGTATCGGGTCTCTTGGAACCGGAGTTACAGACAGTTGTGAGCCACCGTGTGGGTGTTGGGAACTGAACCTGGGTCCCTTACAAGAGCAGCAAGTGTTGTGAACTGCTAGGCCATCTCTCCAGCCCCTAGAAAAGCATTCTTAATTAATATTCAGTGTATGTCTGAGCCGATAGGTGTAATGTGGGATTCCAGAATTTATGTGCTGACTGATGAGTTTCTGAGATGGCTCGTCTGTCTGTCTGTCTGTCTGTCTATCTATCTATCTATCTATCTATCATCTACCTACCCATCTATCTATCTATCTATCTATCTATCTATCTATCTATCTATCTATCTATCATCTATCTATCTAACTACCTATCTCCACAGCCCCAGTCCCCAAAAAGATCATCTAGCTTTACTCTATGTTACTTACTGACTGCCTGCAATGTACAGGGGTTTCCAGGCACAGTGGAGAGAAAGGCAGGCCTGTCTCCTTCCCAGGAGGAGCTTACAGTCAGCGGGCACCAGCTGAAGTCTCCTGCCTGTCACCTGCTTGTCAACCAGTGACATGGCCTGCTGCCCAGCCTCTCACTCTTCCTTCCATCTGCACACTCAATTCCCCACGTCAGGTTAACGCCCGCCCGCTCAGGCGTAACACCAGGGATTAGGATGCTGACATCTGCGGAGCCCATTATCCCACCTGTGACAACATCTGTTTGCTAAATAGATTAAAATGTTATCATCTGCCAACCTGCTGTGACGCTCCCGAGCTAAGCGTGGAGGCCCCGTGGAGGCTGTGGGCCGGGTTAAATTAAATCAGCTTTCAGTTTTTATTTGTCTTATTTATGCCTACTTCATTGATGGGAGGCAGGGGAGGGCGGGCTGAAACGTGTGTGGAGGACAGCCTGGCAGGACTCGGTTCCTTTCTCCTCCCCCGGGGGCTCGGCCCTGTTTTATTCAAGCGCTTCCCCAAGTCCCCTGGTGATTTTGATTGGCAGCTCCTCTCCCTCCACCCCATTCATGCTCTGTTTTCACTTATATTTTTACCTTGGCTACGTTTAATTTTCAGATTTTAGGTCCACTTCTGGAAACTCATCATCACCTCGTCTGCCCTCCTCTCTCACTCCGTATCCCCTGAAATGCTTTAGCTTTTTTTTTTTTTGGTTTTTATGAGACAGGGTTTCTCTGTGTTGTTTTGGAGGCTGTCGGTCCAGCCCAGCCTCGAACTCACAGAGATCCGCCTGCCTCTGCCTCCAGAGTGCTGGGATTAAAGGCGTGCGCCACCACCGCCCGGCTGCTGTAGCTTTTTATAGTGGATGGCAATTAATTATGTCCCATCACACGAATATTTGCTTACTGACCAGCTCTCAGTGGAAATGGTGAAGGCGGGTTCAAAGCGGCCGTAAAATCATTCACTTCTTTCCAGGTGCGAAATGCCATTCTGCCCTTCCAAACGTTTACCTGAAATGTGTGGTTTTGTTTATTTCAGAGACTTGAAGATAGAAAATTTGCTACTGGATGAAGACAATAACATCAAGCTGATTGGTATGACTTTTTTTTTTTTAAGCATGCTAACCTCTTAAGTTGTCCATGATCTGTATCTAATCCTAAGACAAGATTTCTAGTGTACCCCTTGTACATCTCATGTTTAATAATAGTTTTGACGATGAAAATTAGTTTAATAGTTTGTTTAAATAATAAATTAAAAATATTAGGAAGACTCGGCCTGGAGAGATGGCTCGGTGGTTAAGAGCACTGGCTGCTCTTCTAGAGGACCCTGGTTCAATTCCCAGCAACCACATGGCAGCTCACAACTGCCTGTAGCTCCAGTTCCAGGGGATCTAACGCCCTCACATGGGCATAAATGGAAGCAAAACACCAATGCACACGAAAAGTAAATAATTAAAAAAATATTAGGAAGACTAAAAATAGTGTCATTTGATTGTGAATTGAATTTTATAGTTCCAAGTAAATATTTGTTGGTCACGTATTTCTTTGGACTTTGTAAGCTTCTTGTATGTGCTTGTGGTACATGTCTGACGTGTGTGCGTGTGCATGTGTACACGGGTATGGCGGGCAGAGGTCACGTGTTCCCCTCAGCCTCTTTCTACCTTATGTTTTGAGACAGGGTCTCACTGAACTGAGACCTCACCCATGTGGATAGGCTATGAGGCTGGGGGACTCTCCTGTCTCTGCCTCCTGAGCAGTGGGACTGCAGACATGTGCCACCCTCACCAGATTTTCCCTGGAGTGCTGGGAATGCAAACTCAGGTCCTTTGTTCTCAAGGCAAACTGAGCCATCCCCAGAGGTCCCCAAAGTGTAATTAAATTCAGACTTCCCTCCCTTCCTCTCTCTCTCTCTCCCTCCCTCCCTCTCTCCCTCCTTCCTTCCCTTCTTTCCCTTCCTCCCTCCATCCATCCATCCTCCCTTTCTTTCTAGATATGTTTGATTTTAAGTGTATGTGTGCTGCCTGAATATATATCTGTACACCTCATTCGTGCCTGGTGCCTGTGGAGGCCAGAAGAGGGCATTGAATCCCTTGGAACTGGAGTTATAGATGATCGTGAGCTGCCATGTGGTGCTGGGAACTGAACCTGAGTCCTCTGTAAGAGCAGCCATTGCTCCTAACCACTGGGCCATCTTCTGTGCCTTAAATTCAGAGGATCCTCAGCCTTTAAAGCGTTCTCTCTCTCTCTCTCTCTCTCTCTCTCTCTCTCTCTCTCTCTCTCTCTCTCTGTGTGTGTGTGTGTGTGTGTGTGTGTGTGTGTGTGTGTAGTTGCTCTTGGCGGTCAAGTTCACACCCAGCTGTGAGGCATCCAGCACCATCTCCCATTTCTCGCTTTTCTTTCTTTTCCTACTTCACGTGCAAGCGATTCCTTCTGCCTAGATGGCTTGAAAAGACGTCTTGGCTCACACTCAGTTCCCAGTGTGGAACATGCTCCCGGGCTGTGAAGACGATACCATAACCATGGCAACTCTTATCAAGGAAAACATTTAATTGTGGTGGCTTACAGGTTTAGTCCATTAACTTCATGGTGGGAAGCAAGGCAGCATCCAGGCAGACACGGTGCTGGAGAGGGAGCTGAGAGTTCTTACATCGTGACTTGAAGCCAACAGGAAGTAGTCTGAGACACTGGGTGCAGCTTGAGCATATGACACCTCAAAGCCCGCCTCCACAGTGACATACTTCCTCCAGCAAGACCACACCTACTCCAACAAAGCCACACCTCTAATTGTGCTGCTCCTTTTGGGGCTCATTTTCTTTCAAACCACCACAAGCAGTCTGAAGAGAAGGTGAACCTAAGCGAGAGCCTGGAACTCCCCTCTCACTGAGTATGATGGTTGCTTTTAGAGATCAGGAGCTGCTCTATTCACTCTCTTGGGTTCCCACCTCTTGGCTGGTAGCCATGGGATTAACATCTAGCCAGGTATTTCAAGTCATCAAGCAAAAAGGCAAATTAAAACTAGCTGCTCAGACCAAATTTGCCTGTGAGGTTCTAGCAGGGGGCAGCAGTCCTGCCCATAGATAGCTCAGAATATCCTGACCTACCCCACATGCGTGCTGTGTTTATAGCTGAAGGAGAGAAGTGGTGTACAGAAAACAGGACAGGAGAGAGGCGCAGAGAACCCAGATGGCGGACTTGCCTGAGCATGGCTTCACCAGCTGACCCCCTGAGACTCAGCTCCTTGTGGTAGGAGGAGGTTGCAGTCTGTTTACTTGTCATGATAGGTCGCAGTTCACTGTGCATGGAAATGTCTTCGGTTCAAACTTAAAATGTGTAGAGCCATCTCTAGGCCAAACCGAAGCGGGTAGTAAAGGATGGGCCAGACCTACTGGAAATGACCTGGCATCAAAAGCCAGAAACACACAATGTGAGGCAGGGGCTCTGGTCAATGGGTTTCTCTTGGTCTCCTCCTTCTCTGTACCCCAGTCCTCTCGCCCCCTAAAGGACTCTACACATGAAAGACATTGCCTCGCCATCCTGCCTGCTTCCCTCTAGGGGAAGGAGCCCAGCCTCTTCTTCTCTTGCCCCTGGGATGGGCAGTGTGAACCAAAGGTTTTTCCTAAACCTTATTATTATTGTGTTAACTTGAAAGCCCTTTGAACCTTTTGCCTTCAAAGGATTTACTTAGGTGGTTTTCAAAGAGGATTATAGCTATTATCATTTCTTCGTAATAGTTTCCTTGTTTTTGAAATCATTTGGTTTAAATAAACTTATTTCAGCCGTGTCTCAAATTAGTTAGAATCATCAGGAGTAAGATTTTTGATTCAATCATATATTTTTCTTCTTAGAAGAAAGAAGAGGAAAAAAAAAAAAAAGAGAAGGCAGCCGGATGTTTGCAAGGATGTTCCCTCCCCAGGGGGCATAGCTACAGATTAGAGGAGCTGTGAATATTCACTGGGGCTTTCTTTTGAGATTCCATTTTGCAGCTCTCAGAAAAATTGAGTGATAATTAGCTTATGTATTTACCAAATCTAATTGAGACCGACCTATCTGACATTACTGGGAGGCAAATTTCTCTCTAGTTTCACTATTCTAATTATAGGCATATGTGTAAAATTTTAATAACCATAATTATGAATGTGAAATATTCTGCCCTTTATTTCTCTACAATGTCTTTAAAATCAAGCCTTCTAGGCTAGATGAAGACAACCTTAAATGCAGATTCGGCAACCCCTCCACTTCCCCAATCCTGAACTAATTTATCTTCTTGGAATGCTCTTAAGATAAGGCCAGGCTCTGTTCCCTTGCTTGCCTGGGACAGTGGAGGGTGGTCTGGCCTCTTGTCTTGCCTTTCCTGATAGATGGGATGAGGGGGGAAGGGAGGAGACGGTCTCAGAGAGGCTGCCAGCCCTTTGCTTTGACAGAGTCCAGGAATGGGAGCTTTACCTTTAATCTTGGAAACTCAGAGACACATTATTTCCCCCCTGGGATTGCTGTGAAACTGGGCTTCTAACAAGACAACTTCCCTTAACGCTTTGACCCTGGCAACACTACCGTCTTTACCGCGTGGTGCTGTCTCCAGACTCCACAGTAGGTGTTCTTATGCAAAGAGTCATGGGAGTTTCCTCCCGTTAATGCTCCCCACCCCACTCCGTCCCGCCCAGCCAGGGTGCCACAGTGCATCCTGGGTCTGGGAACAGAGCCCCTCACCATCTTTGCAACAGACACTTTCTCAGCTGGGAGGCTAGCCAGCCCCTGCAGTTCAGAAAGACCCTTCTGTGCTGGTCTTGCGGTACCTAGTGGGGCAATCTGGACCAACAGAAAAGAAATGGGCAGGTAGAGGGTAAAGGTGAGGAGACAGGAGGAAGGTGGCAAGCAGGAAAAAAAAAATACAATCACGAAAGCAACAGAAGAGAAAGGTCAGTGTTGAAACAGCCAGATCCCTAATGCAGGCTTTGCCTCTTCTTGCCTGACCTGAGGGCTCGGCATGCTTCGGGGCCTGAAAGAGTTCCTGGGGTGCTCTTTGGATAAGCTGTTTGGTGGTACAGTTCACTGCTTCGAGTGTTGGGGGACTCTTGTTCAGCGTCGTCATTGAGACAGGTGGTTTCCAGTCTCCCAGTTTTCTCCTGCCCGGTTTGCCGTTCCCTAAGTTCTTTCCCGTGGCTTTAGTGGAGGGCATGTACTTGCAGGTGGACACATGCCAGAGCGGAGAGAAAGACAGTAACTAGGGGCCTAGTGCCGGGCAGGAGGTGTGGGAGTGGTTCCAGCCTCCTCAGAGCCAATCTCCGACTTGCCCTGAAGCTTGGGAGTCTTACGGCTGCGCGTTCAGTTTTGCGATGGAGTTCAAAGGATGACCCGGGATGTCAGATCTTAATTCTGAGGTCAACAGAGACTGAGGAAAGTTATCAGAGGAGACAAGGACACTAACAGCTCCCTAATTACCCTCCAGTTGCAGTCATCTTGAAGATCAAAAGTAAATAGTGCACTAAACTCCTAATAGACCCAAAGTGGCCGTGAGGCACACCAGGGCTTTTCTGTAGACTTGCCAGACGCCTGACTCATCGAAGAACAAAGCAATGCCATGAGGTCACTTAGTCTAGTTGGCATCGCCAGCCTGCTGGGCGGTCTTTTTCCAGTCAACACGCGGGGCTGTTTAAATTGCCCCCCCCCCATTACAGTATACCTCTGGAAGGAATTTCTTAGAGACTTTAATGGAAGACACTGCGTTGAAGAAGTCAACTGTAAGTGGCCAGTGATGCAGATGGCCAGCGGAGAAACTCGGTCTCCATCCAGTTTCTCCCAGGCTGGCCACAGGGCAGCCAGGATCTCAGCATGCTCTCCATTCCCGCCTCAGTCCTAGAAAGCTAACAGTCTCTCTTCGCCCTGGATGACTCATTTACAAGGCTCGGTAGAAATATGCTTTGGCTCATCACACTGTTAGGTCTAGCTGGGTATTGCAGCGAGGGCTGATGTAAGATGTTCCACTGAAGCGAGGGAGCTGCCACCCGCCCGGCAGGCACGCCTTTGTCCTGAGAAGTCTGTCAGGGTTATGGTTTGCAGCTGGTGGGTTTCCTGTTGGATGCTAAATTATGTGTTAGCCTGAGAGAATGTTTCCTCTCCTGCTGTCTTCCTCCTCCTCCTCCTCCTCCTCCTCCTCCTCCTCCTCCTCCTCCTCCTCATCTTTCTCCTTCTCCTTCTCCTTCTCATTCCCCTCCTCTTCTTCCTCCTCCTCCTTCCCTCTTCATTTTTGCAATTTTCTAATTCAGAGTCCATGTTTGTCTTCTCCTCTCTGCAGACTTTGGTTTGAGCAACTGTGCAGGGATCCTGGGTTACTCGGACCCATTCAGCACACAGTGTGGCAGCCCAGCCTACGCAGCTCCGGAACTGCTGGCCAGGAAGAAATACGGCCCCAAGATCGATGTCTGGTCAATGTGAGTTATCCAGCTTGTAAAAGTCGATGTTGCCCCCTGAGGTCTCCGCACCCCCTGTTTGTGAAATAGTCTCTCACTGTCTGGTGAGATGCTGTGGATTAGATCATCCATGATTCTCGGAGCCCAGATTCCCTCCTCTCTTTCCAGACTTTTCCTCATAAACTTTCCAAACAGCATTTACAAACATTTCACTGGGAAGCGGAGAAAGGCAGAAAGCCAAGTCTAGTCTTCACAGGCTCGTGTTGGTGCTCCACGAACCACCCATGTTCTATGTAAAACCTTTTCGTAAAGGTCTGAGATCATAGCTACCTGGGAGGCCGGGGGAGGAGGGTCACAAGTTCAAGGCTGACCTGGCCTGCAGATTGAGTCTAGGGTCACCTGGGCAACTGAGTAAGACTTTGTCTCAAAGCCAAAAGGGGAAATGGGTGAAAATGAAGCTGGTGGTGAAATCCTGGCTTAGTGTATGGGAGGTTCTAGGTTCATTCTCCTGACACACACCAAACCAAACACACACATGTGTACACACACACACACACACAAACCTAACAAACACACAGGCACATGGGTGTACATACAAACACACTACAAACCACCCAGATACTATATACACAACCAAACCAAACAAACACATGTGTACACACACACACACACACACACACACACACACACACACACACACGAACCAAACAAACACATGTACACACACACACACAAACCAAACAAACACACAGGTACGTGGTATTACATGCACATCACATACTAACACACCACATATACGCACCAAACCAAACACATGTGCACATGCACATACATGTGTAACACACCACACACACCATACAAATAGACAAACAGCACACACCCCCACACATCACACTCCCCCTACACACATCCTCACTAAAACAAAATCCGACAAACAGATCCTGCCATAGTTTGCTAAGCATGAGCCCTAAGTGCGCCTGCGGCCTCTTTGCACCTGCCTGGTCCCCACCCACAGCCTGGCTTCTCTCTGCTCCTCCTCCTCCTCCTCTTCCTCCTCCTCCTCCTCCTCCTCCTCCTCCTCCTCCTCCTCCATCAGAAAGGGCTGTCTTGGGATGGTTGGGGAATCCATTAACGCTACATAGACGGAATGAAAGGTCTGTGGAAGCCCCCCCCCATACCTCAAGACCTTCCGAGGGCACTGTTGTGTCTCCGTGGTGATGAGGAGATGACAAACGAAGGTTGGGGAGCACGCGGGGGGTGGGGGAGCAGTCTGCTTTTTGAGGGGACAGACAATGTCGTGTCGCCCCAGGTGTCAACGCAAGTGGGAGCCTCCTTAGTGTAGAAGGGGTCAGAGGCTCAGCCTCCTCTGTCACCTCTCGCTAACTCTGACACAGAAGCGAGTAGCTTACCCACATGGAGAGAAAAGCATGGGCTGAGAAAGGTTGGGTTTTGTTCTCACCCCTTTTGCCCGGTTGCTCGGCCGCAGGGGAAAGGGATTCACGTGTAGCATCTGTTGACACTCCATCTCCCTGTTCTGTGACTGAGATGAAGGGCCCCGCTCCCCAGGGAGGCTTCCTGCCCCCTTTCCCATGGCCACCAGCTCTCCTGTCTAGAGGCAGGGACTCTGGGCCTGTCTGGGAGAAATGGTGACGGATGGGCTGGAGAAGAGCCTGGGATGTGCAGAGTTCCGCTTGTGCCACGAGAGTCCCCGGGAGCAAGGTGGCAAGCTGTAGCACCCGAGACCCCGGGGGAGCTCCTCAGTCTCCTTTCCTTGGGCCTCACTAGGCAGAGACCATTGCACGGCACACCCTTGAGACGGGAGACAGACCTCCTCTCCTGGGTTGTAGCCAGCTACTGTGACTCAGTTGCCTACTTCCAAGAACCCAATTGTGTCACCCAGTCCCCACTTAACCTTTTGAAGCCCTAACCCCCCATGTCATTGGTGATGCGGCCTTTGGGAGGTATCTCTTTTGGATGAAGTGAAGAAGGTGGGCTCCACGATGCTATTAGTGCCCTTATAGGAGGCACAGAGAGACTCTCGTATGTGAGGTCACGGGACAAGGGTGGCCCTCTCCCAGGTAGGAAGGAGGGAGGCTCTCACTCATCAGAACCCAGCTGGTGTTCGATTTTGATTTTAGGCTTTCAGTCCCGGATTGGTGAGACAGTGTCTGTTATTTGAATTCCCGGTTCTGTGGTATTTTGTTATTTGGTTACGGTAGCCTGTGTTGACCAGCGTTTCATGGCTATAACTGAATGCCTGAGACATGAGCTCATGAAGACTAAAGGTTTATTTGGTGACTACCTCTGAAGGTTCCAGTCTGACTGACTGACCTCATTGACTGTGACCTGTGGTGAGGTGCAGGGCGGAACAGCTGAACTTTCTTTCTTTCTTTTTTTTTTTTTTGGTTTTTCTAGACAGGGTTTCTCTGTATTGTTTTGGAGGTTGTCGGTCCAGCCTGGCCTCGAACTCACAGAGATCCGCCTGCCTCTGCCTCCCGAGTGCTGGGATTAAAGGCATGCGCCACCACTGCCCAGCCAGCTGAACTTTCAAACCAGGGACAAAGAGAAAAAGAGGAAACAGTCCCTGTCCCTTTCCAGAGTATGCATGAGCTGCTTAAGGATTTCCGCTAGTCCCCACTCCTAAATACCCCACTGTCTTCTCATAATGCCTTCCTGGGGATTGGACCTTTGGAAGCACATGACCCTCCGGTGGAGACTTGCCCAAACCACGGCATAGACCATGCTGACTGAGACACATAGCCGTCTGCAAGTCCCTGTAGACAGATGCAGTGCCAGGCGGTGGCGAGGCAGACAGACAGCTGCACGGAACCTAGAAAGCAGTGCAAGCGCCTTTAGCCCACTCCGGAGAGCCGAGTGGAGCTGGCCAGGTGGGGAACAGGGATGGAAGGTTCCAGGCTGGATGCATGGCGCAGGCCGTGCCGGCATCCGATCACCGCGGACTCTGAAGGTCTTGGTGAGAGCAGGAAGCCTCAGAGCCTTGGTTACAAGATGGATTTTTCCACTACCTCGGAGTCCTTTGTCTGAGGGAGAGATTAGATTTCTGTGTGGCACCCATGGCATTGCTGGCAGAATTGGAAATGGGAAACCCAAAGAGAATTTAATTCAACGCTGCTTAAGGTGAGCATGGAGATGGAGCCCCTGTCTCCCTGCTCCAGCACCACTATTACAAAATGCCCCTCTCCCCCGTTTTATGGCTGTGAAACAGAGCAGTGACGAATCGACTTCTCAAACCAAAAGCAAACACCCCTCTCCAGAGGTTTTCGAGCCTGCTGGGTGGCAGGGAGTCGCTCTAAGGCTTTGGAGACTGGTGAAGAGGGAAGACTCCGGCCACACAGGAAGGCGAGGAGACTCCTGAGACAGCCTGGGGTTCTGGGCCACCCCATCCCTCTGGCAGTGCCAGCATTAGCTGTGGAAAAGGAGGTGGGACCCTGGGGCGGTCATCCCTGTCAATGGTGTCGTTTTCGGGACCATATAAATTATCCTTAAATTCACCTTTTTCCTTCACTCAGAGGTCTAACGTGTGCACACATGTATGCAAGCGCGAGCCCCCCCCCCACGCACAAAACTCATTCATTCTCTCCCTCCCTCTCCACCCCTCCCCTTTCCTCCATTGAGTTTTTAGACACAAAACCATAATGTTCACTCTGGTACATCAAACATTTATTAATGCAACTCGACTTTTCCTCAGAGTGACATTATGCACTAATTAGAAAACAACTATACCGCAGATGTACTTTTTAATTGAAGAGAATTTAACTTCAAGAGTATCACAGCGCTTGCTTGAGAACCCCAGTGAGCCTCTGAGGGTAAGAGAAACGGACACCAGGAGCCTCGTCCTGGCCACATGGCCCCAGGACAGGCGACCTCACTCGATACCTGCTCATGCAGAGTGGACACTCGCTTTGCTCCTTGCATCTGGGTAAAGTTTCTGGGACTTCTCCAGGGAGCAGTGACGCTGCGTCTTTCTTGGCAGAGACGGCCGCTTTCCCTCTGTATGCTGACTATCAGACTACCAAGACCAGCATTTGCCCTCTGGTTCGGCGCAGGGGATCCCACACGTCTCTCCACAGGACCTTTTCCCTCCTCCAGTGCCCATGCTGTGGCCAGCTCCTTTCTGCGTCAGACTGGTGTGCAGTGTCCATTTCCCCGTAGGCTCCCCCACCGTTTGCTGTGAAAACAGCGCTACTCACTGATTGCTGCTCTCCTGTCCCTGCCTCTGTAACCGCTGGCTTTCTTCAAAGCTTTCTTGGGGTTGTCAAAGTTCCATGTCTGCCTCAGAGAACCCAGGGAACCCCTGGGCCACATTTCAAAAGGCTTTTCAGGAAATTCTGAGCATGTTTTGAAACCCCGTCTGACTCTGTGGGATTACGGGGGTTTAGAAACTGCATTCCACACATCCCCCTTTGGTATTCATGCATACTTGTGAAATGTCAGAGGAGACTGTGTTTCTTTCTTCATCTGCATATTAAGCATGGATGAAAACTCTAGGAGAGAGCAAAAAAGATGTCCAATCTGGCTTCTCTTTTAAACTTTCCTAGGGCTGTCCAACCATTAGTGTGGGTTTCCATTATCATTTGTAATAGTGCCCCAATATGATTGTAGTTCTCATTGTAGTCGTCATTGTATTTTATTTAAACAGATTTTTTTGTTTTTGTTTGTCTTTACTATAACAACGGAGAGGATTTATTTATTTATTTAATTCACTCCAGACATAGCACTCGCCTCTTCCTATGACTTCAGCTATTTGGCCTTCGTATTAGCTACATTTAAAGGTAAAGGCCCTGGGATGAAGTGAGAGGAATCTCTCAGCATCTGCGGGTTTTTAATTGATCACTCCATAATAACTGGAAGCCTTTTGGGAAGGCAGTCAAGGTGTGGCTTGCGGGTTGGAGGTGCCATCTAGAACACAGTGTCCTTCATTCTTATCTGTGGTCCAAAGTAGAGTAGGTAATGGAGAGAGAGAGAGAGAGAGAGAGAGAGAGAGAGAGAGAGAGAGAGAGAGAGAGAGAGAGAGAGAGAGAGAGAGAGAGGAGACTCACATCTCAGTGGGCACATGGTCATCAGAGGACATTGCTGTGGAATCATTTCTCTCCTTTAATTTTTACATGCATTTCAGCACTCAAACACTGACCACCAGGCTTGCCTGACAGGCACCATCACCTACTGGATCATCTCACTGGCCCCAGGCGGATCATTAAACCACATATTACAAGGCCTGGTCTGGGGGTTTCTGACTCTGAGTCTGTAGCCCCGCCCTGGAATGTGCACTTTCAAGCGTTCAGGCGGTGCTGATGCTCTGGAGTGAGGAACCCACTTTGGGAAGCGGCATACCACTTAGGGATGACTGTTTAGTGGTCCTCCGTAACTGTGGAAGACGCCAGAGGTTTTCCACTCATCAGAGCCTGTGGCTAAGGCCTCTTCGTAGAAACAGATCGTATAGTTTTGAACCTTCTTAGTTTTCTTTCCTGTCAGTGCTGAAGTCTCCCCAAAGCCAAGCTTTTAGCTCTGCCTGAAACACACCAGAGATGCAGCCCTGCACAATGGGTCCTTAAAGCACGTCGCGACCCCGTCTCTCCTCCCTGCCTTTCTGCCTGTGCCCCTCAGTTTGCTCAGTCCCACCTGTCACCATGGCTAGCCTGACCTCTAGTGTTTTAACTTGGTGCACCCCGTCGTACGTCTCTGTTGCCCCCTCGGTTTCTTTGGGGAATCTACGGCTTCATTCCGACTAAGAGCCACACCGAGTGCTTGCTGCCCGGTCTCTCCGGCTCTCCACGCTGGGCCCCTCTTGTTCACTTACGTGGGGGGACGGCTCGCTGTGTGAGTTTGGCTGTGGAACCTTTTGTCCCATAGCTATTCATTCCCCGAGGAATATGTCGCACTGAACACACACCAGGAACCACTGCTGTCTGTCACTGTGCGTCTGCCTCGTCTGTCCTGGTCTCCAGTTTCTTGGTTTCTGTAATCTGCCACATGGCCGTGTGCAGCCAACCGCAGACCCACAAGCTCATACATAAAACACTCCTCCTCTGAGAGGCTTCCCAGCCTCAAGAGTCCGCCGTCTCCTTAGCTGAACTCTGTGTCAAAAGCAGTGCAGCCCAGCATTGTCTTGCTCTCTGCATTCTCATTTTACTCGAAAGGGTCGTGTTTCTTTCTGCGTTTGCCCATTGCCTGCTTCTCTTCAGCTCAAAGTCCAAAATGGCAGCATCATTGTCTGGCTGTGTCATTCAGAGAGAGGCATCCAGCAAGAATCTGTGGAAGGAATGTCTGTCTGTCTCTCTGACTCCTTTCTGAATTCAGCGGACGTCTGAAAATCTGAGAGTGCTTAAGGCTGGGGCTGAGGGCCCCAGTACCTGTCATTATATGGAATGCACAATTCAGAGGCGCCTCCGTGGAGGGAGTTAGGCCCAAAGGGTCTTAATTTCAGTCAGCCTCATTGGCTCTGTTTTGACTGGAAATCCTGTGGCCTGTTTTTAAAAACACATCCGCCCCGTGCCTTTGAACAGTGGAGACCTCTTGGCAAGCAGTTGTTTCTTCCTCATCAGGAAATCTCATCAACGTGATAGTAGTTTGTACGTCAAGAGAATAAAATCCCCCCCAGAAGACCTTGCTGTCCTCTGGGTTGGCTTTGGATGTAAGCAGTTAAGTCCGCCCAGCAATAGCTCAACCACAGCCAAGATATTGGGCCAGGGCCTGGTGGGAGAGCCTCACAATAAATACCTGAATAAGAACAGAGCCCAGGAAGGACTTCCCTTAATGGCCACCCAGCGCAAAACTCGAGATATGGGTAAAAGACTGGCTTGGGGTGCGTGGATTTGGTTTCAAAGGGCTGAGCGGTAAGCAAAAGCCCTCATTAGCCCAGAAGAGGTGACTCTTGTCCTGTGTCATTAATCTGGTCCCCTCTAAGTTCTACCTTGTAGAGCATATCTGCAAAGATTATAGGCTGGCGGGATCATGCTTGATGCTGCTAACAGTGCGTTCCACATATTTTCCTATGGAATTGTTTGGTCTTGATGTATTCTCTTGACAACTTGAGTGTCCCTTGTCCGAAATGCTTAGGACCAGAACTGTTTTTTTTTTTGTTTTTGTTTTTTTTTTGTTTTTTTTTGCTTTGTGTATATGTAATGAACTATCCTGGCTAGGAGACCCAGGTCAGTGTTTCACATAGACATTATAGACCCAGCCTAAAGGTGGTTTTACGTAGTACCCTTAGTGCACGCGCTATGGCCTGCCACATGAAGCCAGAGGGGGAATTTTCTGCTTGTGGTGTCGTTTTGGCAGCTGAGAGGTTTCAGGATCCGGGGGGTGGGTGGGGTGTCTTAGACGTTCCAGCTGACACTCGGCCTGAATTCAGAGTGAGGATGTGTGGCTTCTCCTGCATAGGTCATTCTTCCTGTTCCTCCGAGCCTGGTTCCGTCTTCACAGTGTTCTCACACGGCCTTTGGAGTGTCAACACCTCAGCCATCACATGGCTGGAGGGTCCCGGGAGGATGCCTCAGCCAGGGCAGAGGCCAGGAAGCTGTGGTCTATGTGCGCTGTCTCCTGCTCCCCGGGGACCACGCTGTTCTCACATTTGATGTGTCTCTTTGCAGAGGCGTGAACATGTACGCTATGTTGACCGGGACCCTGCCTTTCACAGTGGAGCCTTTCAGCCTGAGGGCTCTGTACCAGAAGATGGTGGACAAAGAGATGAACCCCCTCCCCACACAGCTCTCCACAGGTAACGCACCTGCTGCTCTGCATTCAGGGTTTGGGCACTGTGCTCTGACAGGTTTGGACTCGCTTCGGAAGTGGTTGTGTGATGGTGATTTCCCTCGTCCTGTTCAAACAAGAGAGGCTTCTGGGCTTCCCATCCCCGAGAAGCCAGCCCATTCACCGCACCCGCTGCTCCTCTCCCCTGTAATTCGGAAGCTCCAGTTCCCTCCTTCTGTCTTTGGCATAGCAAACAGGCATCAAGAGGGCCGTGCAGTCTTTGCTGGAGAAGCAGCTGCAGGCTCACCATTTTGCAGTGTTGCCTTGGGAAGGAACATTTTCTGGAGTCAGTTTGCTGTAAAGAAATACTGGTTTCATTCAAGTACTGGGTCTGCGGTTTGTTTTGTTACGTGAATTTTTGAGGCCCTTAGAAAGCTTTCAGGTATGTGTAGATTCGGTTACTTCACTGGAATAAATCAGAGATGTGTTTGAGAAGTTCTCTCAAACTTCAGCCGCTTCAAATTGCAGTCAAAGGCTCGAATAAAGGTTTGGTTTCAGATCAGTAAATTAATAGGATCTGATCTTTTGTTTGGTTCACAATTCGCATCAAGTTCCTGGCCTACGCTCGGCTTGGAGGGGTCGTTTAATTGTTCTGTTAGAGTAAATCTAGGTTCACTGAAATGAGGCTTTTGACAGAGAAAGGATAATTATTTAATTTTCCCCTTCCTGATACATGGATAAAATAGAGCATTTTATTTTGCCACTGTTAAGTATTTTCCCCTTGGGTTTATAAGCATCTGGGAGACTGACCAGAGACATGCTCTTGTCAGTGGATCCAAGCTGAAATGAGTTCTTGGGCATAATTACCCAATCCAGCTCCGCTTTCACCTTGCAAGTGCTCTATCATCCCTGGAGGTTGAGAGCCTTGGGAAGAGTGGTTACAGTACTGACTTCTGGAAGAAGTATTTCTGCACCGCAGGCCTCACCTCGTGGAGTTCGGAAACTCAGCGTGTTGAAGGAATTGTCACACCGAGGCTTCTGGGAACTCAGAAGCATTGGGACGTGATGTAAGGCATTATGGGAAATTTTCATTCTTCCGTCCATTTATTCATCATTTCATATCTAGTCTCTTAGTCCATGACGACCAGTCACATGCTAGGCGTGTTCTAGATGCCGTAGAGAGAGGGAATGAGCCGCATATAGCCTCTGCTCCTATACAGCATATGCATCTGTAAGAGAGGCAAATACATACATCTATATGCACATGTTATACATACACACACATACACATGTGGGTAAATAAGCATGTCAGGTGGTTGGCAGTGTTGGTGCTTTAAGTGAAGTAGACTCAAGACACATAGTTGCATTACAAGAACCTCACTCCTTCCCTGAATAGCCCTTGTCACCTCCCTCCCTTCCCCGCTACAAACCCCTACTGGCCACTACCCTTCCTCCATCTCCATACAGAAATGGAGAATATGCACAAAGCCCTTGTCTCAGTACAGCTGTGTCAAGGTCCATTTTCGTTGTCAGATACGTCAGAACTTTGTTTCCTTTCTCTGCTGAGTTGCATTCCCAGGTCTGCACACACCACAGTTTGTTTAACCGTTCACCGGTTGAAGGATCCACTGGATAGCTTCCAGTTTGGGACTACTATTGAATAAAGCCGCTGTGAGTGTTCACCTTCAGACGTGTTTGTGTGAATGTGGTTTCTGTAAGACAAACGGCTAAGAACAGAATTGTTGGGCCGCAATAATAGCAGTCAGACCCGCTTCTCGGTGACTTAGGACCTCAAGGGCTTCTTGTGCTTTTTAGTCATTGAAAGCTGGATCGAGAATAGAAGAGTTCTGAGCCCAAGTGGCATCTCAGACCCGTTGCTGGTCCGTGCAGGGAAGGTAAAGGAGGAGGTCCCCACCCAGCAGTAAAAGCCACCTACACCTTCTGTGTAAGCATGGCAGGTGGCCTCAGTCAGCCAATCGGGATGGAGCAGTGCCACCCCACTGTGGGTTCTGAAGGTGAAAAGGCAGAGGTATGTGTGGACAGCCCCAGTGTGAGCTACACACAGGCTGTAGGGAAGCAGATCATTGCAACAAGCCTGGTCCACCGTTGTTCCCCTAGGACATCAGCTGCTGTATCCAGAAATACTAGTTTAGCAGTAACGGGAGAAGCTGCCCCTTCGTAGAACAACAGATAATCCTTTTTCCTGTTACTGCCATTGTTCCCAATTTACCAATAAGGGAACCGAATCTCAGAGTGATTGAAGGATTTTCCTTTGTACTACGTTATTTTTTTCCCCTCTCCTTATTTTTAAAACACACACACACACACACACACACACACACACACACACACACCACCCCACACACCCATGCACTCATATGTCTGCAGTACCCGCAAAGGCCAGAGAAGGTGTCTCATCCCCTGGAGCTGGAGTTACAGGTAGTCATAGCTGCCTACCATTGGTGCTGGGAGCTGAACTTGGGTCCTCTGCAAGAACAGCATTCACCCTTAACTGCTGAGCCATCCCTCTGGCCCCCTTCTCCCTGTGTAACTCACGATCTGTCCCCTCCATGGCCCATGAACTTGCAAATCTTTTGTCTTCAGGTCTTGTGTTTTAAGTGATGTCATTGCAAATTGGAAATGCCCCCATTAATTTGATATTCTGTCAGTCCTATTTGCATTGATTACATCAGTTAAATCTTACTTTATTCCATTTGGATTAAATTTGAAGTTTTGTTCATTTATTTTTATTTTAGCAAATTTCAGTTGGAAAAAAGGTTACAGCACCCCTGTCCCTGTGAATCTGCGAAAAGTGCAGAGAATCGCCTCCTTGTTCCCATCACATAGTTGGAAACCTTCAGCTTTGGGGGCCTTTCCAACCCTCCTCTAGTCGGTTTCCGCTTTCTGCAAGTTGGCTCCTGCGTATCACAGAGTTAGCGAGTGCCTTTCGCGGCTGAGAGATTTTTTTCCAACAGTTTACTTTCATCTCAGCGCCATAGCAATAGCATTTATAATACATTCCAAACAGACACTTCCAATTAAGGGGATTTTGTCCCACAGATGCACCAAGAGAGAAGCTGAGGAAGAAATGCTGGCATTGCTGAAGGTTGGGCCCGGTTAAGATTTCCAAGGAGGCTTAGCCACCCGTTGTCAAAGCATTCTTAGCCGAGAGGTGGCCAGAAGGCAGCCTCCCTGGAGGACAGGCCCCTGCTTGCATCTGGCTGGCTGCAGCAATGGCAGGAGGCTTTGTCACCTGCAGTCCTGGCTCTTGGCGGTGTCCAGTGCTCACACAGGCCAGCTCAGCCCCGAGGGGTCGGACTGCTCCAGGAAGAAAGGGTGTTGGCGCGACCGCGGTGCCCACCTATTGTTATGCGCAGGCGGCCGAGCTCCTGTTGGGCTCACTTTGACTGTCCCCGCTCGGGTAGAAAGCCCAGGTAGTCAGCTCACGGGAGGGGAGGCTGTTGTGACCATGCCAGATTCCACTTTCTGGGTTGGATGTGTAGTCCCTCTTGGCCCCAGAGACACGGATGTTTTCACGATCCGAGGATAAACTTGGAGGCTCTCTGAGGATGTTCACAAAGACCTTCCAGGCTAGCCATGTGACGTCAGTGGCAGCCAGAGGTGTATGACTGTCGGCAGAGACGTGAACTAAAATTACGCGTGCTCATTGGCAGATTTGGCACACTCGCAGGTGAAAATAGAACAGAAACACACAGCTGGCTATCCTTAGCTCTTCTGGTTAGTCATCCTTCAGAGACGCCCGGCCCTGGCTGTGTAGGGGTGGGCATCAGAGGTCTCAGAAGGTGGAGCACAGGGACAGGGTTTGTTGGCCTCCAAGTTCAGTGAAGACACCTTGGTGTGAAGGACAACAGAGAGGGACACCTGGCACCATCCTCTGGCTTCTGTGCCTGCCCTCTTGTGAGTGCACACACCAAACAACACCAAACCCAAACCAAAAAGCCCTCAAGCGACTCCTGTAGTGGAGGGGTGCAGAAGGGAGGGAAACATTCGTTCAAAACCAGGACCCGCCCCCCCCCAGAAGAATTAGGAAAATTTTATTTGGAGACTTAGCACGTTGAGGTTGAAGAGATGGCTCAGTGGTTAGGACCGTTTGCTGCTCTTCCAGAAGACCCAGGTTCAGTTCCCAGCACCCACCTGTAACTCCAGGTCCAGGACCTGTAACTCCAGGTCCAGGGGATCTATCGCCCTCTCCTGGCCCCTGTGGGTGCTGCAAGCACACAGTGCAATTACACACATGCAGGCAAAACCACTCATAGAATATAAAAACAAGTGAATCTTTTAAAAAGTCTGGCCACGTCAGTGTACCCCATGGCCAGTATGGCACCTGTACCTTCATTTGACTCAGTATGTTCTTGAAGGCAGATGGCCGTGTCCCCTGGGTCCTTGACGCACCAGTTACCTATGGAGGTGGCCTCAGAGGGCTGTTCCTCTGGAGCTGATTCTGGTCTCACAACTGACCCCTCTTTTGACCGCTTTATTCCCACCATAGGAAAAGTGCTCACAGAAGGGCCACCATTCTTGCAAGTACAGTCTAAAACAACAGCTGAAGGCAAAGGCAAAAGTGTGGATTTTCATGACCACTCCTGGATAAGTAGGGTTCTATTAATAAAAAAGAAAAAGCAAAACAGGAAAGAGCTCTTGAGAAAAAGAATTATTTGTAGTCAAAACAAATGGAGATTATTTTCTGAGAGTTACTATTAGATATGATAGAACTGGATATCTGGAAAACTGAAGAATTATGTGGTGAGGCATCTAGGAGCATGGCTAAGTTGATGGAGCACATGGCGTGCAAACCCAGAACCCTGAGTTTGATCCTCCAAATCCCACCTAAGGATGCTGGACATGGTAAATACCATGATGTGTACTTGTAATCCCAACACTGGAGGGAGGGAAACAGGAAGATTCCTGGTGCTAACTGGCCAGCCAGCTCAGCCCAGTGATTGAGCTCCAAGCCAGTGAGAAATCTTGTCTCAAAAGAAGTGGGTGGCATTCTTCTCCGCCCCCCTCATTCTTGGAGAATTTCATACATTGTATTTATTATATTTACCCCTCCCTGTCTCCTCCCAGATGCACACCCCCTTCAGGTGACACCTTAGATGGTCCTCTAGCCTCCATACCTGGATGCACATCTGAGTGCACATGTGGGCTTGGATAGATATGAACATACTTACGTACATAAAAAAGCAAGAAGTAGTGTTTTCTGTTTCTGAGAGGGAAGGGGTTGTGTCTTATGTGTCCTTCCCGGGAGGGGCAGCTGACCTTGAACTTACTCTGTACTGAGGGGCCTGGTCTTGCATTCACTCTGTGGCTGAGGACGACCTTGAACTCCTGACTCCTGTCTCTACCTCCCAGGTACTGGGGATCATAGGCATGTGCCTTCATGCCTGACTTACATGGTGTTAGGGCTCTGACCCAGAACTCGGGTCAAGCTAGGCAAGCACTATGTCAAATGAGGTGTGTCCATTGTCCCCTGACACCTACCCCCTTGTAAAACATTATAATAAGATGTCATAGGACAGGAAAGTGGAGACTCAGAGCTCAGGAAAACCAGGTGGACTCTGTGTGTGTGTGTGTGTGTGTGTGTGTGTGTGTGTGTGTGTGTATGTTGTGTGTGAACTCTCACTGAACAGTTCTGTACTTTACAAAATATAGTTTTGCGTGTAGTTCAGCTGTCTCTCCTGTTATGATCTTAAAGGATACAGACATCCAGCTTCCTGTCTCTAGTGTTTGGGTAGAGCACAGGTGTTCTATAAATGTTTGTTTAACGAAAGGAGACCCAGGGTGTTAAAACAAATTACTCGTGCTGGGGATGGAAGAAAGAGAGGCTGTGAGCATTTTATAGTTGTCAGTGGTTTTTATGTACTTCCTTACACTTGTGGTTCAGTGTAGCTGACATTACTCTACCAGGTCCTTAGGCTGAAAATAAAGAGCAAATACCGTTGGCATACACTCTGCCCAGGCATCCTCTTCCTTTCAAGGGACAGCATCAGATAGGCATGAGTTCTGCTTGCTAGAACCCTGTGACAGACTAAGATTTGGAGATGTACTTGACCTAGCCCTAAACAAAAGCATGCAGATTTCTTGGTGTGGTGTCAGCCGAGGTGAGCATGGGTTCAGGCTGGACTGGGTACTGTGTTGTAATCTGACAGAGTTTGGGGCAGTGTGGGAGGCAGGAGAAGATGGCTTGGAGAGAGCAGGAGAGGACTGCTGGGATGCACCTGTGTACACCGGCCACGAGGAAGGCTGAGGTGGGGAAGACAGAGGGAGTTCAAGGTTACTCTGGACTATTTTGTGAGAGCCTGTCTCAAAGGTAAAGTAGGGCTGAGGACATAGCTCAGCGATAAGTATTTCCTGGGCATGTATGATGCCTCAGGCTTAATTCCTGGGACATTAAACAAATCAATCAATTACCCAGTCAGCCAGGAAATACCTCATTGACCTTATGAGACTCAGTGCCCGCGGTCAGGAGCTAATTCGAACTCCTTCATCTTTCTTCCTTTCTGATTGCTTAGGCGACACTGTGATACTGGGCATTTCCGTTTCTAGGCTTTCATCCTCTACGTGTAAATAGTTCTTGTCTGTGGCTGATCTCTCAGTGACTACAAGAGCCCACAGATTGTTCTATAAACCCATGGTCCCCGGAGAGCAAACCGATTCTTGCTGTCTCGGGTACCAGGTGTGCTCCTTGGACCAATCTCTTAAGCTCTTGGGATATACAGCATCTCTTTAAAGAGATACGTGTGGGAAGAGATGGAATTTAAAACTCCAGGTGTCCGAAGGTGGGGGGCTGAACTCGTGGTCTGCGAGTTTCCGACACGAAGCCCTGCGGAGGCTCAGAGGGGCTGAGGGGTTGGAAGACCACCGTCTGCAGCTAATGTCTGCGCCTGTGCTCAGTCTGTAATGGGCCTTCTCTGCCGACTGTCTCACAGGGGCGGTCAACTTCCTGCGCTCTCTCCTGGAGCCAGACCCAGCGAAGAGGCCAAATATTCAGCAAGCGCTGGCGAATCGCTGGCTCAATGAGAATTACTCCGGGAAAGTGCCCTGTAACGTCACCTATCCCAACAGGTAAGCGAGTGCTTACAGAGGGACTCCTTCTCCAGGGAGATGGGGCCTGCCCTGTGAACCCGCCATAGCTGCTGACAGGCAGACGTACGCGATTGAAGTCAGTGCTGTGTGTTCCCCACCCCTGGCCTGGCCTGCCCACCTCTGCAGTCACCCACCTGCAGATAGGGCCAGCTCACCGGGCAAGAAGCTGCAGCCAGGGCTGCTGTCCTATGTGTTTGTGCCGAATGGGCCGTGTGGAGCCTGGTTGGAGGAATGGAAGCTGAGCTACACAGGACCTGCTCCCCCACCAAGGCTTGCTCTGATGGGTTACATATTCCCCAGCGGGCACTTACAGTCTTACAGTTCACTTAACGGGTCCATTTGAATGAACTGTGGCCCGTGTGTGTGTGTGTGTGTGTGTGTGTGTGTGTGTGTGTGTGTGTGTGTGTAAGAGAGAGAGACGGAGAGACAGAGACAGAGATAGGAAGAGGGAGGGGGAGAGAGGGAGAGAGAGAGAGAGAGACAGACAGACAGACAGACAGACAGACAGAGACAGAGACAGATAGAAAGACAGAGAGGTAGAGAGGGAGGGAGACCTACCCATGAGCTCTCCTGCCAACATTAAACTTCAGGGATCCCATAGATCTGAATCTTTGAAATCACCCTCTAACGTATCTTCTGCTGCTTGAATCCCTTGCTTGAAAGTTTGAAAGTCACAGAGGTGGGAGAAAACAAGGTCAGACCACTCACTTCAGCTGCCCTGTTGTGGGCTTGCTGTTCATGCCTTCTCAGTTCCCACGAGAATGGACCCTGAGGGAGGGTTGTGTGTGGGAGCAGTGACGGTCGGTTCACCTGGCCATCTCTGCAGGGGTCACAGACTACAGACCAGAAGACCAGCTCAAGAAACATAGCCCTGTGCTTTTGACCTCATTTGCCAACCACTCTGAGTGAGGGGTAAGGACTCTCGGAGACCGTCTGATTCCAACCTTCCGGAATAGTGCATCTCTCTTCTCTTTTTAATTCTTGAGAGCCCTACACACACCAAGCTTGGATGAGGACCAGGGGAGGAACGGGGGAGAGCTATCCTCTGTGGCCGTAGTTTTGAAAATCCCCAAGCCTAGGTCAAGAAGGTCTAGAAATATCCACCAAACCTTCTGAAAGCCGAAGTGCTCAGTTCCTCAACCAAGATGGGAAACACTCAGGACGGAGCTCCTTGAAGCACCTGGGTGGAACATTCCTGGGATCCGCATCCAGGCCACTTGACCAAGTTTACTCTTGCCCTGGGCATCGAGGAGGTGACTTTGTCCAGTCACTATACAGAACTCTAGCGTTTGGCTCATGGGTGGCAATTGAGACAAAGTCCGGGTTACCTAGGTTGTCAAGGGAACCTGGAAATAAACACTGTTTTCCAATACCTGCCCAGTTTGGGCCAGGAACAGAAACAGATACCAGAAAAGTTATCCCCTTGTGAGCCTGCAAGCAAAACCGAGGGGCCATGCCTTGTTTCTGTAGAGCAACACGCACGCTGCTTTCTGGTAAAGGAGCGTCATTGATGGTTAAGCTAATGTAATCACTCTCTAAATGAGCGAAGCCATCCACCCAACACAGAAGCTGTCGAAGGCCGTGGGGCTGCACTAGACACACAGAGAGCCCCTCCATTTAGCGACCTCTTCAGGGATGGAGACTTATAATGTGACTTATTGTTTTGTAGCCTCTCGACAGGGAACAGGAGGCAGGTTTTGGTGAGGTAAACATAGATTCAATTCCTTATACTGGTTTAGCCAGCCAGCTTGGGTTGTGTGTGTGTGTGAGTGAGTGTGAGGAGAGAGAGAGAGAGAGAGAGAGAGAGAGAGAGAGAGAGAGAGAGAGAGAGAGAGAGAGAGAGAGAGAGAGAGAGAGAGAGAGAGAGAGAGAGAGAGAGAGAGAGAGAGAGAGAGAGAGAGAGAGAGAGAGAGAGAGAGAGAGAGAGAGAGAGAGAGAGAGAGAGAGAGAGAGAGAGAGAGAGAGAGAGAGAGAGAGAGAGAGAGAGAGAGAGAGAGAGAGAGAGAAAACAACTAGCTAATAAATGGTAAAAGTGGTAAAGGCTTATTTAAAGAAAATAGCAGCGTGGTGTATTGTGTTATCTTAGGCCTGTGGCTTATTGCAGACAAAAGACAAAACAGCAGTCTGTCTCTATCTAAGATAGGAGACCAGAATTCTAAAATATTGGGGGAAGTATGTGTTATTTACAATTTTTATTTTGAAAAACTGTTAATCTTTGAGGCGAATATATATTTATTTCTGATAATTGTTTTTTTCTGGTTTTATCAGCCCTTAAATAAAGGAGAAGAAACATAGAGCCAAAGACACATATCACATCTACATATATATTTGTAAAATTTTTTCTAGTTTCCCAGTACTTCTGTCTCTTGGTTTAATTAGTTTAGATGTTGTCAGTGTTTCTGTCCCTTGGGAAAGTAAGGAAAGCCCCCCCCCAAGTTTCACACTATTCTTCTCACAGCTTCCTCCTGTGAAGTCACTGGGCCTCCAGGCTCATCTCCAAAGGGTTGGATGGAAGAGTGTTACACGAAATATTTTACAGTACTCATCCCAGGCGGTCAACAGGTGTTGGTTGGTGCCTTCCTGGTATGGACACGACATTCTGTCAGAGAAGGCCTTCCTCCCTCTCCCTGACTCCCTGTGGGGCCTGGGCAGCCCACAGCCACAGCCAGTTTCTGTAGATGGGCCAGAATGAAACCAAAATACTATCAAGGCAATGGGATATGAATTTGCGTAGCTCCAATTATAAAATTCGCATTCTAGAACATTCTCTCTCCTCCCTTTCCCCTCCCTTTCTTTCCGCTCTGCTCTCTGTTACAGGATCTTGTTGTGTGATCATGGCTAGCCTGGTGCTTACTGTGCAGCCCAGGCAAGCTTAGAAGTTTATAGCAAACCTCCCGTGTCACCCTCCCTGGTACTGGTATTACAGTGTGAGTCACCACACCTGGCAGTTACCATCCTCTTTATCAGCCAAACATGTACAATAACAGACATGGTAGAAGCAAATGTATTTCCAGAAAAGGCTTAAGATATACGTGACGCTTAGTTACGGGGGGGGGGGGGTGAGTCTCCTGGTTCTCAACACAACAGATAAAAAGGGCCGAGCTGGATCGCGGCCCCTGCTCACATCCCCCCTTTCGCCTCTATCCCTCCCCCTCCCCGTTTCAGCCGGGGTGGCACACCGCGCCTCCCCACACATTTTGAAGCAGAATACAGGACTGGAGTCACACCAGTGCGGCCGTGACTTCCCTGGAGTCACACCAGTGCGGCCGTGACTTCCCTGGCCATGAGTGAATGTCCCAGGGTTGCTCTCGTTGGAGACACCAAGAGTTTTCATGCAACTGTGTGTTGTTTTGTGACAGATCCTCCCGGTTTGGCATCCTGCTACCCGAGTCTCTCCTATAGCTCGGGTAACAAGCGTGTGCCACCAGGTCTGGCTGTCATACGGTTTTAAGGGTACACACTGAAGTGTTTGGAAATCATGCAGCACGCTGTCTAGCATCTAAGATGTTTTAGCAGCAACAGTGACAACCAAGAATGAAGCAAGCGTGGTAGATGCATGCTAACACACCCCGGTGATGGTGTACCCATGCTAACACACCCCGGTGGTGGTACACACGTTCTAACACACCCCGGTGATGGTACACGGTACACACGTGCTAACATACCCCGGTGATGGTACACACGTGCTAACACACCCCGGTGATGGTGTCCCCATGCTAACACACCCCGGTGATGGTGCACACATGCTAACACGCCCCAGTGATGGTACACACATGCTAACACGCCCCGGTGATGGTGTACCCATGCTAACACACCCCGGTGATGGTGCACACATGCTAACACACCCGGTGATGGTGCACACATGCTAACACACCCGGTGATGGTGCACACATGCTAATCACAGGTGTCTCTCTGTACCGGTGGGGTAATTCTTATGATTGCCCCCCAAAGATAAAAATCTGTCGACACTGGGTGTAGTTGTGCACATCTTTAATCCCAGCACTCAGGAGGCAGAGGCAGGCAGGTCTCTGTGAGTTTGAGGCCAGGCTGGTCTACAGAGTGAGTTCTAGGACAGCCAGGGCTACACGGTGAGCTGCTTTCAAGCACCTGCTCACCTCAAAGTCTACAGACACTCAAGTCTCCTACATAACATAGTATATTTTGCAGGTAAACCATACACATTCTTCCATATGCTTTAAATCACCTTGTTATACTACAGGGAATAATGACAATAAAAAAGCCTTTATGTTTAGTTTAGGTGAAGTTTTTTGTTTTTGTTTTTTCCCTAAAATGCTCTAAGATGAACTGAATCCTATGGATGGGGAACCCACAGGTATATAAGGTACATTATATAGTAAATCCACCACCTTTCTATATACATGAAGATCTTCAACCTCCAGTGGGATTGGGGACGTAGCTCAGTTGAGACAGTGCCTGCCCAGTGTGAACAAAAATCCCTGGGTTCCATGTCAGCACCACATAAAACAGGCGTGGCAGTGTGTGCCTCCAGTACCAGCACTCAGGGCGTATGTAATATCTGGGGCGTCTGTTATTCAGTCATTCTCTCGGCTACTCGGAGCATGAGGCAGCCTGGGCTGCATGCGGCCGTGTCTCAAAAAAAAAAAAAAAAAGGAAAACAAAGTCAAGTGAACGAATGACTGAGGGAACACAGTTGTCCCCGGGGCCCTGTGTGGACTCCGTGTGCCTGCCATGTTCGTGAGCCACTCTGAAGGTGGAGAGATGACTGGTTTCTCTGTGTCTACCCCTCATAGGATTTCTCTGGAAGACCTGAGCCCCAGTGTGGTACTGCACATGACTGAAAAGCTGGGCTATAAGAACAGCGACGTCATCAACACGGTGCTCTCCAACCGCGCCTGCCACATCTTGGCCATCTACTTCCTGTTAAACAAGAAGCTCGAGCGCTATTTGTCGGGGGTAAGTGGGACCACAGAGGACCTTCTTCTGTCCAGTGTTGCGAAGATGCTGAGACACCCGATCTGTTGCGCTGTTACTTTAGCCTACAATGTATCAAGGCTGAGCCTCCTGAATGTGGGGTAAAATTTAGGAAAAGCTGTTTCTTAGATGGCACTACTGATCTGGGTCGTGTTGTGAACGTTCTCCTGTAACAGTTAGCCCTGGCAGACCCCTGAGGGCCTCGTCTTCTGTTCCCAGTTGTCCGTTTTTATTCTGACACCTCTCAGCTCGTTGGGTTCTTGGCTTTAGAGGAACTGGAGTGTACCATGAGCTCTAATAGGTCTTAATAATGAAAACCCGGAGTCAGGTATCGGGGTAAACGCTGAAAGGTCAGAGAAGTAAAGGAGCAGCCGCAAGAGAGACCTTTTACTACTGAGCCCCGTCCCTGTGAGTCCTCAGACTGAATGCCGTGAGCTCCCTGTGAGTCCTCAGACTGAATGCCATGAGCTTCCTGTGAGTGAGTCCTCAGACTGAATGCCATGAGCTCCTGTCTCCACCTCCCCAGTGCTGGGATTAAAGGTGTGGGCTCCCAAATGCTGGGATCGAAGGCGTGAGCTCTGTTTCTCTTTTAGACCGATTCAGTCTCATGTAGCCCAAGGCCGCCTTGAACTCACAGAGATCCGCCTGCCTCTGTCTCCCGAGTGCTGGGATTAAAGGTGTGTGCCACCACTGCATGGCCTCTATGGATAACTAGTGGCTAGCTCCACACTCTGATCTCAGGCAAGCCTTTTTTGTTAAAGCACAAAACAAAAAACAATATCACCACACTGGAGGTTTCAGTGCTATTGAAAGTTGTGAAGCCCATGCCTGCCTCTACGGAGTGCGGGGAATGGAAAAGCCATGGGGCAGCTCTCTCTCTCTCTCTCTCTCTCTCTCTCTCTCTCTCTGATGGTCTGTGTCTGCAGGATTCAACCAACCACAGGTCAAAAATATTTGGGAGAATATTGTGTTAGTGCTGAACATGTGCAGCCTTCTTTCTTATTATTCCCTGACTAATATTGCATAGCATTTGCATTGTATTAGGTATTGTAAGTAATTCAGAGGTTTGAAGCGTGTGGAAGATGTGTACAGCTTATATGCAAATATTGTATGGTTTCCTATAAATGATTTACACAAGACTGGGATTTATAGGAGACCCTGGAACTAGGTGCCAACAGGAAAAAACATATGTTTAGGTATACTTCTCTTGAAAATAAGAACACAATAGACTTCACTGAGTTGACTCTGGCAGTGTCACACAGGCCAGATGTTAAAAAGTCCAACTGACAGGGTGAAGAGTTGGCTTAACAGTTAAGAGCACTGTTCCTCTTGCAGAAGACCCGGGTTCGATTCCCAGCACCTACAAAGTGGTTCACAACCTTCTGTAACTCCAGTCCCAGGGAAACCAGCACCCTCCTCTGGCCTCCTCTGACACAGGCACACACGTGATACACATATACGTAGTAGGCAAAACACTCATATACATTAAAAAAATCTAAAAATAAAAAGAAAGGCCATGTGCCTTGTTCCACACATGAAGTACTGTTAGGACACCCACTTTGTGGGTGGATAGCAGTAACCCAATACTATGGTACCTTTATCGTCTTGGCCAGAGAAGTTCATATGTCATCTTCAAATGGACAATCTCTTAAAAAGAATTCTGTAAGACAGTGTATAGATTCAATGTGAAACTGTCCCTCTTTAAGGCAGAAGGAAGGGTAGGTGCCAGCCAGCTCTAGCCGGAAGTCAACCAGAGAAACTCAAGGCTGACAGAAGCCCACCTGAGGTTTGATCGAGCATTCGCTCTCTCAAAGATGACCTTGGACCTGTGTGTGTTGTACCTTGAGATCTGCTGGTGTGTCTCTGTTAGGAAGATAGAACCTAGGTGGTAAGATCAAACTTGTAGAGATAGTTGGTGCTGTTAAAAGTCACACAGTAGATGACTATCTTACATACCATCCTAAACCTCCATCCAGTGACAGACGGAAGCAGAGAAAGACACCCACAGCTAAACACTGAACTAAACTCAAGGAACCCAGAGACAGAGAGGGAGGAGTGACGAGCAAAGGGGTCAAGACTGGGCTTGTTCAGAAACAGCTGACCTGAACAAGGGGGAGCTCATGGACACCAGACTGATGGCTGGGAATCTAGCATGGGACTGATCAGACCCCCTGAATGTGGGTTTCAGTGAGGAGACTCAATCTATGGGGCTTTGGGTAGTAGATCAGTATTTATCCCTGGCACACAAATGGATTTTGGATGCCCATCCCACAATGATGGACGCTTTCTTAACCTGGACAGAAATGACCAAAATAATATCGATGAGGCATGATGGTCCTGTTGAAGCTCGTGTTAGCAGATTGGCTCACGGGCAGTTAGATTACATGTGTATGAAGAAGCTTGGCTGGAGGTCAGCTGAACATCTGGACGGAAGGAAGTGCAGGTGTTTCCAAGCTGATTCAGCTTTCATTTTGCTTCCAGGAACATTTACCCAGAGCTTTCTTGGTGTGTGTGTGTGTGTGTGTGTGTGTGTGTGTGTGTGTGTGTGTGTGTGTGTGTGTGAGAGAGAGAGAGAGAGAGAGAGAGAGAGAGACAGAGAGAGAGACAGAGAGAGACAGAGAGAGACAGAGAGAGACAGAGACAGACACAAAAGGAAAAGACAGGTGAAAAGAAACACTGAAATGCTTGCACAAACAAGGAAAATAATTATGAGGAAATAAATGTTTTGTCCTTCTCATGGGGATTCATCTTGAGCTCTGAGGCTATGAGGTGGTGGCCATCAGTCAGGGGACAGTGGCATCAGGTGACGTGTTATCCTAGTCTTATTCTGGCGCAGTGATAAAATACTCTGATGGAAACCAACTTGGGAAGGAGAAGGCTTATTTGGTTACGCTTCCAAGTCACAGTCCATCTTCAAGGGCAGTCGGTGAGAACTGGGAGCCGTGAGCAGTGAGAAAAGCTCCTGGCGGCTGGTATTCTAGTCTGCTGGCGTTCTTCTGCAGCCCGGAACCACCTGCCCAGGGATGGTGCGGCCACAGTGTGCTGGGCCCTCTGCACCAATTAATAATCAAGGCAGCTCCTCGCAGACACCCCCACAGACCATCCTGGCACAGTTACTCAGCTGAAACTCTTTTTCCTCCCCAGGTGCTTCTAGGCTGTGCCAAGTTGACAATTAACACTCACTAAACTAACATAGAAGACAGGATCTGCAATCTCAGTCAAGCTTTGACATGTAATACCAACATATAGCACATATTATGCCTTATGTAATATATATTGGTATGTTATATATATATATATATGCACATGTCTGTCTTGTTGCTATAACAAAATACCTGAGGGCCTGAATACTCACTTTAAAAAGGGGCTTGTTTGAGCCTACAGCTTTGTTAATTGGAAGTTGAGAGTGTGCCCTAGCCTGAAGAGCCTCCCTGTTCTGTGTCAGAACTTCAGAGACGGGAAATAGCTTCAGGCAAAGGGCCAAGGGCGTCCAGTGCCTCACTTTCTAACAGCACTCCCTTGGTGAGGGGCGAGCTGGGTGAGACAGTGTCAATCCCTCCCATGAACGATGCCCCTGATGACCTAATTATTATCCGGTGTCGCTCCCTTGTATTAACGCTGCCACTTGAGGAATCCAGATTCCTGAGGTGAACTTCCGGGAGCCTCGCGCAAACCACAGTGGTACAGTCTGTTATTTCATAGCAGTGAGGGAGGAGCAAGACGGACCCCCCCCCCCCGCCACACAGTGGCTCTGCTCTCGTCAGAGGACCCCAAGAGACAGGTGGGAGTTGAGGCTGCTTTTCCATTCTCCTTCCGCCAGAGACCTCATCCCCGAATCTCTTTCCCATCTTATCCTTTTAAGTTCCTACTCTTACTGTATATTTTATAATGTAGATGATGTGTTAATGCAGTGGCATGATGAGTTATGAGTATTCCCGTAGATGCCTCTGTACAACTTTTTTCATTCAGGCTCCAGGTGGTATCATTTGGACACCGTGCCAGAGGCTAAATGTTAATCTTTCAAACGGTTTCCAAGTAAGAGGAACGAGGGTGCACACTGATTTTTTTTTTCCTTTTTCAAATGACGAATGTTGTTCAGGCTTTTAGAGTGTCGTGATGGAGCTGATATATAGGGGTGATCTTGGTTTCCTACGTTACTGAATAACGCTGTTACGGGCACAGGTGCTCTAGGTCTATGTGCTTTTAAACTTGGATAGAGGGGCGCTCATGGTCCCTTCCACATCACACCTCTCGAGTCTGATCACTCACCATCTCCCGACACCGCGGCATTGACAGCTCATGTCAAGCAGGAGGGACATTGTGTCAGAAACTCTTCCTCCGTGTCCTGCTTAGCCCGGGCTCCCTCCCTGCCTTCTGTCTTTTCCTGATTTCAACTTTGCCTCAGTTTCCAGTGTTGAGAGCTGAGCGTGGCTTTGTCCCGTGGAAGAGCACTCCTGGGAAGCCCAGGCCTTGCAGTCTGACTGGAGAAGCGCTTGGTATTACTGAGCAATGAGACTTAACTCCTCAGTCGTAAGATGTAACCTGGACCAAGAATCCAAGCTCTAGGCAACTGGAGTGGACTGACTGACCTCTGCCTGTGGCTGCAGCTGGTCCACTCCGTGATACCCAGCGCGGTTTATTTAATGGCTCTGTAGGCACTGCCACAGTCACCTAACCTGCGTGTGACTTTGAAATCCGGTGAACCTGAATGCCTGGCTCCCCGTGTTTGTCCCTTCTCCCCTCCTCTTCTCTCTCCTCCTTCACCAGCTCCGTTGGGGCTTGCTGTGACTCTCCTTTGGGTGCGGTTTTCACACTGTTTGTTTGAGACTGGGTCTCCTGTCCCAGGCTAGCCCAAACAAGGTCAAAGATGACCTTGAACCCCGGCTCCTTCAGCACTCACTTCCCATGTCCTGGGATTGCAGGGGTATGCCCCCACGCCTGCTTTTTATTTCAGTGCTGTAGGCTGAACTCAGAGCTCACGAGTGCAAGGCAAGTCTCCACCAACTGAGCTACCTTCCCGCCCCTGCTTACCGTAACAGGAGAGCATGGCGCTTCCTATGTGGCCAGTGAGGTGTTCTCCCAGTGTAACTATTAGGTTTCCGCTTTCTCCTCCTACAGGGAACACAGGGCAGGTGGAGGAACCGAGATCCCGAGAGAGCAGAGACTGGCCCGGGGCTGCCTGCCTCTGGGCGCTGGGCTCTCGTCGTACCCAGGGCTGGGGTGACACTGCACTGCGTCTTGCCAACGGGCCAGCCATTCTTTCCTTTTCCTCAGCTGAGCATTGCTTTGAAAAATTCACGACTGTGTCATGGAAGTTTCTATCTGCCAAGACTTAAGCCATGCCTCCTATTTCTTTCTCTGGTAGAAATCTGACATCCAAGATGGCGTCTGCTACAAGACCCAGCTCTACCAGATAGAGAAGTACAGAGCCACCAAGGAGCCCTACGAGGTGAGTGGCCCCGAAGCAAATTCAGGGGCTCTCAGTCCATTTTTAGGGGGAGGATGGAAAGAAAGCCAGTTACCACAGGACACAGAGACACCAAGGACAAACACCCTCGCAGCTGAGCCCTGGAGAACTGGTTTACAGTGGAGCCAGCATTGCTCAGTCTCCAAACCACAGGCCTTACGTGGCATACATCACCGGGAACATTTGCGCACCTGTGTGCTCGGTCCGTACCACAGGCTGTGGACGTCCGGTCTCAGGAGGGAAGATTTCGTGTTTTTAGTTTTCTTTCCTAGTCTGTTCAGTGGATCTTTGAATTTCCATTTTACGTACTAATTATACACAGTGTTGTTGCTTTACATTAGGACACTTCATTCAAACACACAAAGTACTCTGAGTATAAACTTCCTCTTTCTTTCTCCCTCCCTCTTCCTCTTCCTCCCCCTCCCCTGCTTCTTTCTATCCCCCTGCACTGGAATTAGTCCTTTGTTCCCCTAGGCAGCTTGGCTGCTAAGTTCATGGCAATTACAGGTGTGGTTTTTTTTGATTCTATAAGATCTAGGAACTGCTGGGCGTTGCTGGCGCACGCCTTTAATCCCAGCACTTGGAAGGCAGAGGCAGGCGGATCTCTGTGAGTTCGAGGCCAGCCTGGTCTACAGAGCGAGTGCCAGGACAGCCTCCAAAAACACAGAGAAACCCTATCTTGAAAAGCAAAAAACAAAACAAAAAAAAACCCCAAAAACAATAACAACAAAAAGATCTAGGAACTGCATGTGAAAGAAAATGATATTTGTCTTTTGGTGCTGGCTTATCTCACTTACTATGATTTCTCCCAGCTTCACCCATTTTCCTGCAAAGGCCATGACTTTGGTATTCTTTACTGATGAAAAAACACAAAACCAAACCAAACCCTCTGTGTAGGTAGGACACAGGCCACATCTTCCTTACCTATTGCTCAGCCGCGGGACAGCGAGGTTTGCTCCATGGCTTGGTGTTGTGTGTAGAGCTGCGGTAGCGATGGGTGCATGGCCGTCTCTGTGACGCGCTGACTCAGAGGCCTTCTGGGTGGGAGTTCCGAAAGCTGTCTGGATGAGTTCCTGAGCACTCACAGTTGGGAGCCACAGCCGGGGCCCTCAAAAGAGCACCGAGTGGCCCAGCTGGCAGGAGAAGGGAGAGGCAGGGTAAAGGGCAGGGAAAATTCTGGACGGAAGTGAGTTTTCCCAGTCATCCATCCCCAGGGCCTCAAGGTGACCTGCACTGACCTGAGAGCAAAACACTCAAGCTCATGGATGCTGTTAAAAGTAGTCCTGCGGCAGCTCAGGTCCTTACAAACTTGGACCCAAAGCACACTTTGTGGAGAAGTTTTGCTGTGGGTTTCAGACCCCGCACCAGGAGCACAGGGCTTTCTGCCCACCAGGTTACCTGTGGGCTCTTTTTACTCAGTTTCCTTCCATGGAGCCGCACCCCGTCCCTGTAGAGAATTTGTCAGAGCTCCCGGGCAAGTCACTGGGACGTTGTGGAGAGCTCGGGCTGCATTTACTGAAGGAGATCACAAAGGGCCCACTTCAGACTGTGGTCACTCCCTCCTTTCCTACCTCAGGTTCCCATCCTGACGACGTGAGATGGTTCCACCTGCCTCCCTCTGGGGTCCCCCTGACCCAGCTCTGTCTAGGGACGGGATCACGTTCAGGGCTGAGAGGGAGGCTGGGCTTGCTGGATGTCCATTTTGGACAGAGCCTGGGAGCAGGGGAGAAAAACGCCAGGGTTGCTGGGAGATCCAGGAGGGAGGGATGCTTGGGAGGCCTTGGGAACGGGCAAGATGATCTGGGCAGAACTCAGCAGCATCAGCTGGGCAGTTGTCCTGGTGACTGGGACGTCTCCAATTGCATCATGTCACTTTCCTTCTTTAAGCCTTTGGAGGCTCCGTGATGTGACCACCTGTGCAGAAGCCGGATTCTAATTGCTTTGGTCCCATAGCTTGGCCTCAGCACCGGCAGAAACCCAGCCGTCTTCTTCGAGGTTGGTTTTCTTGCTACTGCTTCCTGGGTCTTCCCCTTCAGTGCCCGTGTGTCTTCAGCTCTGGAGGCCCGGCCAGCTCTTCAGGGACCATAGCCATTCCCTGACATCTGCCCCTGGGTCCCCATTCTCTCTGAGGCAGCCCTGAGCACACACAGGGCCGGTCTCGGCACTTCGTCATTTATTTAAGGGGGTCACCTGATGAACCAAGGGCTCTCCCAGTTTGGTCCGTGAGTTCCACAAGATTAAGGACCTTATTAACATCCAAGGAGCCGGCTTGGCCCTGGTATGGTGGGAAGTTACCGCGCCCGCGCGTGCACGTGATACCAGCGAATGCTTGCTAACGGAACGAATGAAGGAGTGAAATGGACCTTGTCCTATGTCAGAAAGCAGATTGAACTGAGTGAGGCAAGCGACCGAAGAGAGTGGGACGTTCCAAATGCGACCCTTAGTTCAGCGCCCGCAGCGTTCCGGTGTTACCAGATAGTTGGGGAGCTACCCTACCGCGTGCGCCAGGCCGGCTGGGGTCTGGAGCCCCGTGCGAGTGCCCCAAGCGTCCTCTGCGCCCCAAGCGTTCTCTGCGCCCCAAGCGTCCTCTGTGCCCCAAGCGTCCTCTGCGCCCCAAGCGTCCTCTGTGCCCCAAGCGTCCTCTGCGCCCCAAGCGTCCTCTGCACCCCAAGCGTCCTCTGCGCCCCAAGCATCCTCTGCGCCCCAAGCGTCCTCTGCGTCCTCTGCGCCCCAAGCGTCCTCTGCGCCCCAAGCATCCTCTGCGCCCCAAGCGTCCTCTGCACCCCAAGCGTCCTCTGCGCCCCGTCCTCTTGTCTTCTCTGTCGCCCCAGCCTTCCGCAGCTGTGTCTGTGAGTTCCAGAACCCTGCTGGGAAAGAGCCCCATCTCTCACTCAGAGTCCCATCCTCTTGACGGTTATTTCCACTTGGCCAGAAAACACACGGTGAACGTTGTAAGCATTTGCTGAAATATTGAACAGTTAGGACTTAAATAGGAGCACTAATGGGCGAACCGCATTTCGGTTTTCTATGACCCATTTGTTTCTCCAGTGTGCCGCGTTACTTCTGCTAATTGAATAACAGGCTATTGCCAGATCGCTCAACTTGTCTCTGCTGGAAGCGAGAGAGTGCAGTGGGGCTGGGTAGACAGAGTCCTAGGAAGGCCTCGGATGGCCCAGGCTTCCCTGCTGCAGGGGTGAGGGTGGAGAGGCACAGGGAATGGAGTGGGAGGTTTAGTTGCATCGGGGAATTGGCTGTAGGGCCACAGACTCCAAGGATGTCATGAATCTGTGTTCTGTGTCCTGTGCGTGGGTGGCCTCTTTGTATTTCCTCCCTTCTTTTCTCTGCTAACGGACAAATAAGCTTAATTGAGTTTTCAAAACTTCCCTTTGGGGATTACAGTGCTGTAATATTAGGGATTATTCTTCCTCTTCCTGTAAAAAGAGACTGTTTTGTAAAATTGGAGCATACACCTGGGTGGTGGTGGTGCACGCCCTTTAATCCCAGCACTTGGGAGGCAGAGGCAGGGGGATCTCTGTGTGTTGGAGACTAGCCTGGTCTACAGGTGAGTTCCAGGACAGCCAGGGCTATGTAGAGGGACCCAGTTCCAAAAAATGGGAGGAGGAGAAGTATCTCAATTAGAATGGTGTTCAGAGGACCCTGGGGCTTACTGGGTTGGGGACGGGCTGGTCGTCATCTTTAAACTGGCTATTAAAAACGACCTCAGGTGGGCTGGGTGATGATGGCTCATGCTCTTAATCACAGCACTCAGGAGGTAGTGGCTTGTAGAGCTCTGTGAGTTCAAGGCCAGCCAGGGCTACACAGTGAGGACCCATCTTTAAAAAAAAATGACACAGTGCCATTTTTGTTGAAATCGCATGAAAAATAATGTCAACTTATAAAATGTAGACTAGAAACAGGCGATCTCTCCAGACAAGACCCATGGCCATGGGACATCAAGGGACTGAATTCTTCTGACCCAGCCACTGTAACAAATATTACCCAGGGCAGAAATCTAGCTTCTCTCAGTTCTAGATGTCAAGGTGACCGAGGGCTGGTTCCTCCTGAGGCACAGCAGAGGGCAGCTGCTCCAAGCCTTTGTCTAGGTTGTTGATCTTCCCTGCTTGGCATCCTTCTTACGCCATCTTAGAGGCGTTCCTGTGTTCAAACTCCTCCTCTTGTAACAACACCAGTCATAGTGCAGAAGGGTCGTCGTGACAACCTCATTTTAATGCAGCTCTCAGTATAAAGACCTGACTCTAAACAATGTTATTTTCTGTGGTCCTAGAGGTTAAAACTCCAACACAGAAATTTTGAGATATTGCTAACCTATTGGGACTGTAAGTTTAAATGTAAATATTAAGATATTCAGCTTATGACTTTTATTTATTTATTGCTTTGTTTTGTTTTTTGTTTTGTTTTTGATGTTTTTGTTTTTCGAGACAGGATTTCTCTGTATTGTTTTGGAGGTTGGAGGCTGTCCTGGAACTTGCTCGGTAGAACAGGCTTGGTCTCGAACTCACAGAGGTCCCCCTGCCTCTGCCTCCCGAGTGCTGGGTGTGCGCCACCAACTCGCCCAGCTTGTTTTTGTTTTTTGAGACAGGGTTTCTCTGTGTAGCTTTGGAGCAAGATCCAGGATCAGGCTGGCCTTGAACTCACAGAGATCCACCTGCCTCTGCCTTATGGGTGTTGGGATTAAAGGCTTGAGCCACCACTGCCTGGCAGCTTATGACTTATTTAAACATCTGTATGACTTGGGGCTGGAGAGATGGCTCAGCAGTTAACTGCTCCTGCAAAGGACCCTGGTGCTGTTCCCAGCATCCACACGGAGGCAGACAACAGCCTGTAAGCCCAGTTTCAGAGAATCTGAGTCTGTCTTCTGTCCTCCATATTTATGATGAATATAAACACACATACTCAGAGGCACACACACACTCACAGGCCAACGTGCACACACACTCATACACTCACAGGCACACGCACAGGAATACACACACACACACACACACACACACACACACACACACACACACACACACATACACAATGTATGGCCAAGGTGCTATTTGCAACAGATACCTATTGCCACTGTTTTCTCCTGCGGAGCATTACTGGGCATATCAACCACATTCCAGGGCAGGGTTGGCCAACACAAAACAAACATCATGTATTTTTGTAAGTCATTATTATTTATTACAATTATTATTATCATTTTGTTTTGTTTGGGCTTTTTTTTTTGTCTTACTGGGTTTTTGCTTTGAATTTTGTTGTTTGCTTTTTTGTTTGTTTTTGTTTTTGTTGTTTTTGAGAGAAAGGCTGGAAATTAAGTTGGGTGGGGAGGATCTGGGAGGAACCGGGGGAGAGGGAAGCAGGATCAAGCTATATCATATAGATTTTTTAAAATAAAAAATAAGGCATGCAGTCCAGTCAGGTGGTTTATGCTACAGGAAGTTAAAATGGTAGCTATGCCGGGGACAGAGAGGCTGGGAGGAGAGCCTGCCAGCTGGCTGACAGGGAAAGACTCTTGCGACCTGAGGACCTGGGTTCACTTCCCAGAATCCACATGGTGAGAGGTGAGATCCAACTCCCGCAGGGGTCCTCTGACCTCCACACGCACACCTCGGCGTGCCCCTGTACACACAATTAACCGATTAATTAATTAAAATGTAAAAGTTTTACAAAGAGACTTTGGGCTGGGAGAAAAAGCCGAGAAGAAACTCTCAGGTGCTGGTGGGATCTCTAGTGCCTGCTGTGGGTGCTGTTTCCATGGTGTCTTCACTGTTGGAGAAACACGTTAAATTGCTTGCTTGTCAGGAGAGCACGTCTGCCTTCTGGGTCTTGGTGTCTAATAACTTCACCTAGAGGATCTGCCCTACACCTGACTTAGGATATCTGCTCCCTCCTTACACTGCAATTCAGGGTGGTTGATGTACGTACGTACGTATGTATGTATGTATATGCATGCACACACACACACACACACACACACACACACACACACGTAAACACTGAAATGATTAATTTTCCAACCAGAGGTGTGGGGAGAGTCCTAAGGGGTAGTTTTGGGAATCAGTAATAGATGTTCCTTTGTGAACTGATGAAAACTGGTGTCCTTCACAGGCCTCCCTGGACACCTGGACAAGAGACTTTGAATTCCATGCTGTGCAGGTAAGCTTGCGGGTTTCTGATGGATTAGCCAGGCTCTCTGGAGAGATGTGTTCTCTCTCACCTGCATACGCATGTGAGAACAGAAACGCAGTAGGAAGATGGATAGATTGACGACAGGCAGACGGCAGCCCTTTGAACCCTTGCGTGTGTGGTGCGTGTGCTTGTGTGTAAAGCTAGCCTTGTGTGTGTGGTGCGTGTGCTTGTGTGTAAAGCTAGCCTTGCATGTGTGGTGTGTGTGCTTGTGTGTAAAGCTAGCCTTGCGTGTGTGGTGTGTGTGCTTGTGTGTAAAGCTAACCCTGGAGACACAAGAGTGCATTGAGTGTCTTCCCCTGTCACTCTGTACCTCATTATTGCGAGGCAGGATCTCTCCCTGAGCCTACAGCCAGTTTTTCAGCTAGGCTGAAAGCCCCGGAAATCCTTTTGTGTCAACCCCTCAAAGTGCCAGGGTTACAGGTACGCCCAAGACCCCTTTGGCTTTTTACATGAGTGCTCACATCCAGAATCGGGTCCTCACGGTTGGGTAGCAAGCGCTCCGAGGCACCGAGCCAGCTCTCCAACCGGCCTGTTCTTTTCTCTGAAGACGTTCAACGCTGAGGAGGGCCATCCGCTCTTAGCACCTGCTGGTGTGGATGTTGAAGATGCTAACCATTCTCTACACAGTGACATGCACACCGGTGTTCACCACACACTAGATGACATGGCCTAGCCAAGGTGACATATGGAATTAACCGTCGTGTGATGCTGGGTGTCAGCCGGTCCTGGCCCAACCCCTGAAACCCTCTTCTCTTACCCTGAATGGAGGCTTCTCCTCAGAAGGGCTGGGTGCTTGCTATACTGTGTCTCACCGTCTTGCCTTCCTGTGTCTTCTGCATGAGACACAGGGTTTGCAGCAGTCTGGGGTTCCTGGTTCTGTGGTCTGGTTCATGACTCCACCCCTCTTTTTATAAACTCACTCATAGAATTTTGTTATTGTTGTTGATTTCGCTGCTGCCAGTCTGGCCTTTCTCTAATACGATAGGCATAAAGGAACAAAGACCAGCTGTCTAGTGACATCTGGGAACATGGTCATCCAGGGTGAGAGGTGTGACTGGATCTGATGCCCCAAGCAGCTGGGTGCAGCTCCTCATTTATCAGTCAGGCTCCCAGCGAGCCGGATGTGATGGGATTCACCTACCGATGGGAGCGCCTTCAACTGCCCTCAGCCCCAGGGCTCTTCCCGTACCACAGTCACCCTCTGTATGGGAGAGAAGTCAGTTTCCCAAGGGCAGTTCTTCCTCCAGCCTGGGACAAAAGGTGGCACAGAGTCCCCGTCCTCGTTGTTAAATTAGAGTGCTTGCCATTCTGGCCATCACGCAGATGCAGGATGGATTCTTGCTTACTCTGTGGAGCTGGGCGAGGCCACACTTGTGGTTACAGATGGAGGTATATTTCTGGAGGTGATGGGAGTTGCCGGTGGTCACAGCCAGTTACAGAGAGTCAGAGATGGAGTTCACGCCGTGCTACTACCATGGTGGTTGTTTTTTGGTGACTCTGTTGACAGTCGGGAAGGGAGACTTTGAAAGGGAGCAGCTCTCTGGGACTCAGGGCTTAGAGGCTGAGGACTGGGCCTTCCCCTCAGGTTGGCTGCTGGAGCTGATCCACATCTGTCTCTAAATGCTCAGTGGACCTCTGCTTCTTCCATTGAATGGTACAGGGTATATTATCCTTTCTGGCCCACGCTGTTTTGTAACTGTTTTTAGATGTCTCCAGTGGGTAGAATTGGTGGCTACCGCTCAAGTTTTTGCTCGTGGGGCTGGAGCAGCGGCCCAGTGGAAAAGGTGTTTATGCTCTGGTGTGAGGTTGTGAGTTCAGATCCTCAGCGCCCATATAAAAGCTGGGTGGGCATAGTGGCCCACCTGTAACCTCAGCACTCAGGAGACAGGGGATCCCCAGGGCTAGCTAGTTAGATTAGCTAAATCTGTGCTAAGTTCATCAAGAGACCCTGGATCTGTGAACAAAATAAAGCAGAATTTAGAGTGACAACTAACACCAATTGATGTCTGTCTGGCCTTCATAGACATGCGTGCACATGTGTGCAAACACACACACACACACACACACACACACATACACACATGGAAACTGCTTGACCCACCTCACACGGTCCTCTCTGGTCTGACTCGATACGAAACTGTCCTGTGGGTTAAAAGGAAAAGGTACTAAGAGTTGAGATTGTGAACTTCCTCACCAATCCTCTAGGCCTCAGGGATGCTAGGAAACCCTGAGGGAGAAGAATCTGGAAACTGGGACCCTGCCAGCCCCAGAACTGTGGGTGTGACACATGCCCTTGGGAAGAAGAGTGCAGTCTGTCTCTGAAGACTGTTTTCTGTTATGTCAGGCATCGCCAACATCCTGCTCCTTGGGGGATTTCCTTTAGAGAGAACAGGGTAAGCAAAGGGAAAGGTCTAACTGGGTGATCACTGGCGCGTGTCTGAGGCAGTGGGATCAGCATTAGACAGGTTTCCTTTGGACGTCTGCACTTACACATGAGCTGGCTCAAGGCTCATCCCCCTTCGAGGGATGTGAGTTCTGTCCAGCTCTCTGGAAGCAGCCCCTGAGGCATTCTACGGCGATGCATGCTCTGACGGTTTTCACGGCATGCTGGGGCACAAGTCCAGCAAAGATGGTTGCCTGGAAGGTTTGGGTCAGTAAGCGATTCCCCTTCTCCATAGAAGGCCCTCAGCTCATTGCCGCCCCTGCCTTGATCACGGGAAAACTTGATCCTCCAGGCCAGCCTTCGGCTCCTGTGCAGCAAACCCTCATTTCTCACATGCTTCTTGCAACTAAGCTCAGTCTGGGTGGGGAGTCTGGCCCCAGAGCTTTTATAACGTGATTCTTTTTTTTTTTTTTTTTTTTTTTTTTTGGTTTTTACGAGACAGGATTTCTCTGTATTGTTTCGGAGGCTATCGGTCCAGCCCGGCCTCGAACTCACAGAGATCCGCCTGCCTCTGCCTCCCGAGTGCTGGGATTAAAGTATAACGTGATTCTTAAACTATCAAGAACCCCCAAAGGGCCTGGAAAGGAGCTACAGTAGACCCCCCCTCATGGCTGGGGACAGACCTCTATTCATTGGGGCTACATAGCAGCCCCGAGGAGCCTTTGCTGGTTTTTTTTTTTCTAATTCTAAAATGGTGTGAATGCAATTTGATCGTTTTCTGTCGAGTTTTGTTTTAAAGTACAAAAGTGCATCTCGTGTGTGTTTCTTCCTGCTGTGGTATTAACAGACAGAAATGGGGGCTTTGCATAATACCAGAGAGATTAAAAAAGAAACTGAACAAAGGAGGAATGCTTCCAGACTTTTCAGGACAGACCCGTCATATCCTCCTTCATGCTACACAAGTGTGTGTGTGTGTGTGTGTGTGTGTGTGTGTGTGTGTGTCTGTCTGTCTGTCTGCCTCTGTGTGTATGTTTACCTATCTGTCTGAGTATGGCTGAGCATCACCTGTGTGTCTGAATATGTGTCTGTCTGTGTCTATGTGTACATCTATGTGGTTGTATGTATGTGTGTGTGTGTCTATGAGTATGTGTTTGTGTGTGTGTGTTTGCTCTAAAAGCTTGTTCTCCTTTGCTTTAGGGAAGGTATCCCCACCCCCATTCTCCTGCGGTTCTTTCTCCGAGTGGCCCGTCATAATGAGCTCTCTACGAAGGCGTGGGCATCCTTGGTGGGAAGGGCACTTTGTGAAAGTGCAAAGACATGCTTCCCCACGAAGCCCGCCCTGCACATAAATGAAACATTGATGAGCCCCCTCCAATTGCACGTCCTCTTCAACCTAAGGCAGAAAACTGTGGAGAGCTGCCTTTTGCCCTCGGTCAGCGCAGTCAGGGACGCCTTGCCTGTGTTTGGCCGTGAACATCAGTGTAGTCATCAGGGCCATAGATACGATTTCTCCTTCTGCAGTTGCTTAGTGGCCTCAGCATTCCCAAAAGCTTGAACTCAATTAATTTTAATTCAGTTCAGCATCCACTGACCCTCTCTCCCTCCAAATAGCTGCTTGTAAGGCTGTTTCTAAGGACCTGGCTTGGTGCCAGAGGCTGTGGGGTTGAAGGCAACTCAAACAGTCAAGGCCATTCCCATTAGAGTGATTATGATCTAGTTCTATAAAGATTAACTCTGCAGCTAAAAACATGGCAGCCTACACGCGAGGTTTAGATCTATGTGTAAACGCTCCTACGCTGAGACGGTAGAAAGGGTTACACACCCAACAGAACTTCTCAGGGCCCTATGGGGTTTAGACTAAACACACTGGGCCTAAGGTTAAATGAAAGCAGCTATCTCTCTGTTGGCAAGGCCTTCGTTGCAATTGGGGTCTGAGGGTACCACGTGATGATGGGTGGGTGGATGGATGATGGATCGATGGATGGATGGATGGATGGATGATGGATGGATGATGGATGGATGATAGATGAACAGATTTAGTATTTTTAGACGGGGTCTATGTTGGGCTTTTTTATTGTTGTGCTAGTTGCCTGAGGAAAGCAACTTATTTTGCTTCTGATCTCAGGCCGTAGGGTAAGGGCATAGCAGAGCTGTTTATATCATGGTGGATGGGAAGCAAATGGAGTGACAGGAAGAGGCCGACAGCACACATTCAGGGACCTCTGTCTCAGACGCGCCCCACCTCCCTATGTGTCCCGTCTCCCCAACATTCTGTTCACGTTTGGAAGCCATCGGCAGATGCATAGATAGGATCAGTTAGCTAAGGACCTCAGGAATCGTCCTCATAGGCACCCCAAGGGGCAGATTTTAAAGCCCTGACGTGTTGCTCAGTTCATTCAAGTTGAAGGTCAAGATTAACCACAGCCAGGTGTCACTGTGTAGGTCAGGCCGGTCTTGAACTTGAAAATCCTCCTTGAAGATACAGTTCTGCACCCTCATGCCCAATGAGGGCCATTCTTCAAATGCACACAGTAGTTCTTTAGAACTCTGTTTGTTCCTTAGTTCCTTCAGGTTTTTCCAGAATGCCTGATCATATGCGGTGGCCTTGACCATTGCCGTGCAAGTGAGCTAGAGAGAGTCCATGTTTATTTGCTCCAGGCAGAGGGAGCCTGTCCCCTGGAGCGTGGGCTAGACCTCAGCCTCCATCCCCACTTAATCCACACACTGCAAAGCATGGGACATTTAAAAACTGGGTTTCCCTCTTCCGTTTGGGTGGCCTTTCATAGAAGAATCCTAAAGTATATTCTTGTGGGTGTCTGACTATGTTCACTTCCGATTTGAAGGATAAAAAGCCCAAAGAACAAGAAAAAAGGGTCGATTTTCTTCACCGTCCGTTTTCCAAGAAGTTGGACAAGAGCCTGCCCCCTCACAAACAGCCCTCGGCCTCGCTCTTCACACAGATCCAGAACACCAAAGCCCTCCTCAAAGACCGCAAGGCCTCCAAGGCAGGCTTTCCCGACAAAGGTGGGTCAGCTCCACGGCCCTGCTCACTGCGGGTGGCTGTGTGGGCTCGGGGCAGAGGTGGTCATGCCTTTGGGAGGGTACCACCGGCACATCTACGGCAATGGGACTTGGGGGCCAGACAGTGGGGTGTTGACCGCCTGTGCGGGAATGGAGAAGACAGAGGTAGGCATGCGTTATAAGGGAAGCAGAGATAAGGGAACACAGTGCTGCGGGTACACAGGGTTAAAGGGGGGCCACTGAGATACGGCAGCAAGTCCTCGGAGTGTGCGGGGCTATGGAAGAGGAGTCGGGGTGCATAGACCTACAGGGGCGGAAATTAGGGCGGAAAGTGTTGTTGGAGCAGAGGCTGGGGTGTGTGGCACTGCAGGAGTAGAAATCGGGTGGATAATTGTGGTGTAAGAGTTTGGGGGTTCATGGCATGTAGGAGCGGAAATTTGGCCGCATGGTGTTGTGGGGCCAGAGGCGAAGGTGTAAGGTGTCACAAAAGGAGATTCAGGCACAGGACCAGAGGCAGGTGTGCAGGATGAGAGACCGGCACACACACGGTGTTCTGGGGGCCAGAGTGAGTACAGGAGACTACGGGTCAGTGGGATAGGCAGGTAGCAGCAGGAGCGGGAGCTGCCCCGGGTGGTCTTACTGGAGCTTTTCTCAGAAATGCGGCCCCATGGGGCATTCACACATCACTGCTGTGTCTGGGTTCTGGAGAGGTGGTAGGATTCTCAGTCCCAAGTTCAAGTCCCAGCTCTACTGTTCGTTGCGGGCTGAAGGTCTTCACTGAGTCCCTTAGTTGTAATATCCACTGGCTGCTACACCTACCAAGTAGACCCAATGTGTCGTGATTCGGAGTCCATCCCATCGTTGGTAACTGATGCATGTGAGCCTCCTCCCAGGACAGCACAGGTTTGAGATGCACGGAAGAAGCATCCCCGGGGAGGGAGACAGGGAAGCTGGGGGTGTCCTAACATGGAACCTCGAGGCAGGAGTGCTCCCTTTACTATCGTCTCGTTGCAGAGGTTTTGCTGTCTGTTTACAGAGGTTGCAGCATCTGACGCTCAGGGAGGGGTGTGGCTATCTGAGGCGAACTCCAGGCTCGTTGCTTTGCTCAGTGTGACTCCAGGGTGGCAGCTGCTATCCCGTCATTGCCCCACGCACGCAGCCTGTCCTGGTGCACAAATTCAGCAGACCTAGGAGAGGAAGCTTGCACGCGCGCCAGCCGGAGCACCGACAGTATTAGCCATTAACAAAGCCTTATTTCTTCCTGCTGTCGCACCTCAGGCATCTGCTGCCTGTGGAGATTTATTTCCGCGTCTGAGTATTTATTTATGTGGGCAAGAGAGATTCTCAGTGCCCTCGGCTGTTCCTGAAATCACCCACACTGGGCAGCAGCTTGCTCCTGCAGCTGGGCCATGGCGCAGCCCATGAAATGTTAAGGCCCAAGACAGAGCCTACTCTGCCTTATTCCCGCCACGTGCCAAGCCTCTGGGGTTTTCCCTCTCTTTCCCGGTACAGTCCACAAACCTGGATTCTGGCCCTATACCAACTCAAGACGTGAAGTCTGGGCATTGGCTGGTTGCCTTTGTTGCATATTTCTGTTTGAAGTTGGCAAGGCCGCATTGAGTTCAAAGCCACAAGGGAGGCTTGAGAAAGGAGGAGAGCCGTCCACAGCCTGGGAGCCCTGGCACTAAGGGAAGGAGCCGGTCTTCGAAGTCCGGATGCTGGGTGGGGCTATTTGCGTTCCTAGAGCGGCCAAGTTGACAGATCTGCAAGCAGAGTGGGGATTGCCAGAGGGTAGGGAGACAAGGAGGATGGGCGACCGTGTAATGGCGGCACTATTTCTGTAAACAGTGCAACGAGCCTGTAGATTTTTTTTTTAACCATGATAAACTTAACAAGAGAGTTGGGGGACACAAGTCCTTCCAGGGTCAGCAGTCAAGAGACCAAATGTGTTGGAGCTCAGTAAGTCAGATTCGTTGAGCAGGTAAACCTCTGTTCGAAGGCCTTTTTGGTAGAGTCAGGAATTTTCAGTCATCAAAGGGGAGTAGCTGTTAGCCTGGGCTTCTGGTCTAGCCTCTTGCCTCCTATATTCTAGAAGGACTCCTGGGGCTCCTGCTGGGACCTCAGGAGCCTCGGTTGACGCTTCTTCTCGTTTCCTCCTGCCTTGCGCCAGGTTTCTGGCTCAGATAAGTGCAGGCAGAATGACTGTGCGCTGCTCTTTCCAAACCTATTATCACGGTCTTGTTTTCTTGGTGTGCAGATTCCTTCGGCTGCCGCAATCTTTTCCGCAAGACTTCCGATTCCAATTGTGTGGCTTCCTCTTCCATGGAATTCATCCCTGTCCCACCTCCCAGGACACCCAGGATTATAAAGAAACTAGAGCCGCACCAGTCAGGGCCGGGAAGTGCCAGCATCCTCCCCAAGGAAGAGCCGCTGCTGCTGGATATGGTCCGCTCCTTCGAGTCTGTGGATCGTGAGGACCACACAGAACTGCTGTCCCCTTCCCATCACTATAGGATCCTGAACTCACCCGTGAGCTTGACTCGTAGGAATTCTAGTGAGAGGACACTCTCTCCGGGGCTGCTCTCCGGAAGCACATCACCTCTCCAAACTCCACTGCATTCCACGCTGGTCTCTTTTGGCCATGAAGATAAGAACAGCTCCCCGAAAGAGGAGGGTGTCTGTTCCCCTCCTCCGGTTCCCAGCAATGGCCTCACACAGCCTCTGGGGAGCCCCAACTGCGTGAAAAGCAGGGGGAGGTTCCCCATGATGGGCATCGGACAGATGCTGAGGAAGCGGCACCAGAGCCTGCAGCCTTCCTCAGAGAGGTCCCTGGAGTCCAGCATGTCACCGCTGCAGCCCACAGCCCCCTCCAGCCTCTCCTTCGACATGGCTGACGGTGTCAAGAGCCAGTGTTAACCTGGGACGGCAACATTCTGGGTCTCCGTAAGGACAGCAATGGACAGAACTCCACACTTACATCAGGGCACGAGCAGTCAGCCTCACGAGAGAATCCTTTACACCTGCCTCACAACGTCCCAAGCCCGGTTCAGCTGAAGCCCATAGACTTAAAGCCTGCACACCCAGCCTCGCTCAGGATCCCCTGAGATGCTGGGAATGAGGAAGGCAGGCTGTGGGGACCGTCCATTCTAGTCTGAGACCCTCTTTCCGACAGCCCCTCGTCCAGCCCTCTCCAGTATCCCCCCGGCTGGGCTCGGAGCTGAAAACCACACCTCCGTCTGCTGGACCACTCAGATTTGCAGGTCAGTCCCCTCCTCCCTGTGCTCCATGTGGGTCTCCCACAGAGTGCTGTGTTCAGTGGCCGGTCACAGTCCCACGGGGACCACACCACTGCAAGGACTTTTGCCCAGCCAGGGCTTCCTCCACAGGGGGAAGCGACCCTCCTTACCCTAACAGTGAGTCCCTGCGGGAGAGCAGGAGTGGTGAGTCAGTCCCAGTGTCAAGACGCCAGAGACTCCGGAGGAAGATTAGACAGAGCCTCAGACAAAGATGGAACCCAACAGTGAAACCCCAGATGATGAAGACTAAAGAAAACACTCATTCCCATACAATGTTTTAACAAATCTGTCTCTCCTGTCTTTCTTTTTCCTTTTTTTTTCTTATTGAAACTTGCTAAGGATTGAGTGAACCTGTCCAAAGAAAGCTTTCTTTGTGTGATGCAATTAAATTGAACTAACTTTTTGTTTGTGACTCGTTAAGTAGCCCAGGCTGGCTTCAAACTCACCGTCCTCAGCTTCCAAAGTGTTGGTATTACAAGTGTGTACCCCCGAGTCTGGCTCAAAATAGCAATGTTTAAAAACCCGGATGGTCAGATGGGAAGCGCCTCTACCACATTCACGTTTTCCTGAGAGGCTGCAGCTGAGGCGGCCATAACAGCTGGCCTGAGTGGTGACGTAGCATCGGACCACGGTGGCCTGCATGAGGGACAGCAGCCTCGCCACCCTGTGCTTGTGTTGCGGCTACAGCAGAAGGCATTGAACACGGCGCCAGATGGTTCTGGAGAGAGAATGGATTCTCAGGGCCAGGGGAAGGTTTTGCTGTGCACTGCTGTTTTCCTGCTGCAGTTGGAGCTTCGCTGTACTGGGGGATGGGAAGGAACAGGCTTGTCCCCTGGGCGCAGTTCAAGGAAAGCGGTGTCCCCCAGACAGTCCTTCAGTCCACGTTGTGTTCATACACCTTCCCCTTCCAGGACTGAACCAAAGATGCGTTTCCGGTTTTGTGACTGTGATACCCCCTGCGTCTTTTGTGGAATCTGGTGTTGTCTGATCATGTCCAGCTGGCACTTGATGTCTCTCTGTGGATCCCGGGCCCTGGTACTTAGCAGAGGACTTCTCAGTCATCAACGGCATTGTAAGGAAGGGAAGAATCCTCACAAGTCGGGTCACAGTTGGTTTAGGAGATGAGTTGTGGATTAGCCCAGAATGTTCCGTCTTTAACTGTTTCAGGTGTGACCAGGACCACAACTGTAGCCAGGAAGCCAGGTTCATCATCTTGGTCCGTTGATGCTAAAGCGGGCTTGTTTCTTTAAAACCACAAAGCCAGTGAGGGGTGAGATGCAGGGGCTTCCCTGGGCCCCTCACAGCCCTGACTGGGCAATGAGAGAATACACATGGCTGACCCTGAAAGCAAGATGCTCTAGTCTTGGCTGAACTTGGTGAGACCTGGGCTGCTCAATCCTAGGGAGGGACTCACCCCCTCCCCACGTCTCCTCCCAGCAGCTGCCATTGTTCTGCAGTATGGTTTCAGCTCGGCTTCCAGGACTTAACATTGAAATAGAGCTCTGAGCAGAGAGAGAAGAGACGAGTCATCTGCAGATGCTCTATTGGCACGATGTGTGTGCATCTCGATGGGCGAGAATCCTTTTTTAAAGAGAGCTACCAACCGCAGCCATCTTACTCTGCAAGTTGGTAGGACGTATGCCTGTGTGCCCCCCATTTCTGTAACCCCTTATGTCTTTTTCTGGCTGCTTGCTTTCCTCACGTGTGTGTGTGTGTGTGTGTGTGTGTGTGTGTGTGTGTGTGTGTTAACTCATGGAGAAAGTGTTTCCCATTCTTCACTTCAAGAATGGTGCCAGAGGCTGCACCACTAGCTGCCCGTGTTGCCACTGGAAACAGACTCGGAACTCAGGTGTATAACGAACCCAGTGAGAGGCCAAGGGGAGCAATGCGGGGAAACTAGGTGTGTTTTGGGGTGCATATACACCTGACAAGTCTATGAAGCTGAGTGGGAGAAGAAATGTTAATTGCTTTACTGTTTTATTATATTTATATGGAAAAGCTGACCATCCTCTTGTTAAAGTGCCGTGTGTTGTCTGTTGACCTGTGACTGTCCTTCACGAGTTCTTGCCTGTGATTCCAGTCAGCCTGCGGCTACTGGTGGGAATGACCGAACTGTCTTTGTGTGAAGTCCAGAAGGAAGAGTCCATCGTAGTTGTAAGGTTTGGTCATGAGAAAGGACTGATTATATTTATGTCACCGTTATTGAATATCTGTACTTTTGTAATGGCTGTGAAATACATACTTTTTCCTCACTGTGGCTGCCTCTTTATTTGTTGGTAAACCTTAAAACTTGGAGTGTGTGATGCAGAGTACCATTGTTTACGTAAAACTCTTGGCACGGTGGGGACTTGGGAGCATTTCCTACTGCCGTAGCCCCTGGTTAATCTCACCTGCAGTGGGTGTTTACAACGGTTTACACGGCCGATGAACGACTTGGCAGCTCAAGATGAGTCAGCATATTGTTCTCATTGATGGGTCAGGATTTCCAGGGAGAATCAGGGAAGGGCGGCCACGAGTCTTGTTTCTGGTCTCTGCCTTTGTTTGAGGTCCTGGGTAAGGGAAAGCGGTGGATATGTGATGGGTGGGTGTACATTAACTGTACAGATTGCCCCAGATATGACACCATTCATAGCTGCTCACAGGATGTTTTTCTACAGGTGCCACCGTCCTTAAGTGCTTGTGTCCCTTGCCCAGGCTCAGCAGGTTGCGGGGCTACAGAGCAGGCAGTGCTCCTGCTCGTGCTACACAGGCTCGATCTGCAGTTAGAGAGGAAGGAGCAGGCGTGTGGTTTTATTGCAAGAATCACAGCATTTCAGAGCAGGAAGGGAACTAAGGCTCTGTAGCCCAATCTTAGTTCAAGGGTTCCAAGGTAGCTCAAGATAATCGTAATTAGGTTTTGCCCTGGCATCATTCTCACATCTCTTGATATGCTACACTTTGTTGACGCTCATGGAGGACCTGACCATTTCTCAACAGAAACAGAGCTGTCTGCTTTCTTAAGTCGTTCTCAAATGGGTATCGTCTCAAGAACCTGCAGACGGTCAAACATCGGACCTTTCTGCTACCCTCCACTGAGTATTGGAGCTCAACAGACCACTTCTTTTTTGGAGTCTCTTGTCCTCTAAATCTGATGTAAATAGAAGCCTCTCGTTATCTACTGGGGTTTGTGAGACTAAACCAATGGAACATTTACCCAGAGACTTATCACAGAGTGAGACCCATTTGGAAAGAATGCAAGGCCTGACCATTTTTTCCTAGCAGGGTCTGGAAAGCCTCTTGGTTACTGTATTTGTTGTCTGTGTATGGTTCTCTGTGTGCCACAGACACACTGAGATTAATTCAGAGCAGTGCCGGGAGCTGGTCCAATTTAATGTCATCACTTTTCAATGCCAGGGGTGTGTTTCCTGAGTGGTAAATGAGTGTATTATCTGTGGCAGCCCTTTGCTCAAGGGAACTTCTCAGACATCTGTTTCCAAAGACAAACGGGTGTGGGGGGTTTGTACTTCGTCACTACAGATGTGTTTTCAAGGCACCCTGTTCTAGAATTTGATATCTGCGGACACATAGGAATAGTGGGGGGAGGGTGGCCAGGGGGCTTGGATCTGCCACTCACCTTCCACAGAAACCTTCGTCTGAGTTGGTGCCCAGCAATGAGCCGTCTGGGGGAATCCCATCTGGGACTGGGGGCCAGCTAGCTGGATGTGGAACAAACTGGGACCAACTGGAGTTAATCAGCTTGTGATGAAAGGAGGCGCATGACAGAGAGAACGCCACCAGGAAACATTTACCGCTGAGGACATGAACGGTGCTGGCTTCCAGGCCGGAGCTCCGTGCAATCCCTGCTGAGAAGGTGGCCTGTGCTGAAAGCAAAGACCTTAACACAGAGTAAAGTCTGTAACTTAGACTTAAGCTTCAGACAACAGCAAAACTCAACTTTTGTAGATGTCACACTGCGGACAGCTGACAGAGGGGCAGATGACTGTCCTGTGTTGGGGACAAAGTTTTCATCCAGAGTTCCCCCTCTAGCAGCTCATGTGTGGGATCCGTTGGGCTTTGTTTGCATAGCATAGCATAGCATAGCATAGCATAGCATAGCATAGCATAGCATAGCATAGCATAGCATACCCCAAATCCTAAAGTCTCCGGTAAAGATTTCTTCCCTACACTAATCTTAGTGAAACTCAAAGACTGCCACAGAAGATGAGTGAATTGTTGTAAGAGCTAGCAGCTAGCCGGGCGGTGGTGGCACACGCCTTTAATCCCAGCACTTGGGAGGCAGAGGCAGGTGGATCTCGGTGAGTTCGGGGACCACGCCTGGCCTACCAATCGAGTTCCAGGACAGGCTCCAAAGCCACAGAGAAACCCTGTCTTAAAAACAAACAAACAAACAAACAAACAAAAGAGCTAGCGGCTGGGGAGGACAGGTATGAACCAGCATCTTCTTGGCATGACTGGATCACTTACTGGGGTTGTAAACGGGAGTGGGGGTGGTGCATACCGAAGTCTCCTAAGTAACTTTGGACGGCTGTCCCATCAGGAATTCCTACCCCAGTCATTTACCTGCCATAGTGCAGTGGTTGGGACCTTGGGGAGGGTCCTCATGAGGATTTGCAGAAGTCTTGGGCGTCTCCTGACTCTCTCAGTGTTGACAGAGTTTGATCTCATGAGGCTCCTAGGCAGATCATCGAAGCTGATCTGCAGTAGTCATGTCCAACCTGGAAGAAATAGCTGTCTCATGGTCCCTAGTGCTGAGCTTGGTGGTGTAGACCTGTAATCCCAGCACTGGGGAGATTAAAACAGGGAGGCTAGCAGAAGTAAGGCCAGCCTGGGCTACAGAGTGGAGGTGGCTCTATCAATAAATAAATATCACTGAAATCAGGCAGACCTCACTCCACTCTTATACCGTAATGGCAGCTCTCAGTAAGAGAGGGATTGATCTTTGTGTCCGCATGTGAGTGGTGTGTACATGTGAGTGCGGGCCGGAGATCAACCCTGACTGTCACTCTTCAGTTGTTATCCACCTTCTATTTTGAGTCTGGATTGCTCGTTGGCCTGGAACTTTCCTGGTAGCTAGGCTGGCTGACTTGAAAGCCCTAGCATCTCCCTGTTTGTCAGTCCCCAACACTGGGTTGTAAGCCCATTCCATCACATCCAGGTTTTTGTTTGTTGTTGCTGTTTTCAACACGGGCTCTGGGGGATTGAACTGAGGTCATCACCCTCACAAGGCGAGCAGTCTACCAAAGGAGCTGTCAGCCCAGCCCAACAGTTATTTTTGCTAATTTCATTTTTGAAGAGCACGTTAGGGTGATCCTGTCCTCTTAAAATTCACATGTTGAAGCCCTTAGTATCTCAGAATGTGACACCTTCAGAAACGAATTAGAATGAGGCCATTAGGGCGAGACCTGATATCCCCCAGGAGTGACAGCAGACAGGAAATGTCATGTGAGGACGGGAGAAAGCGGCTGTCTGCCTCAAGGAGCCTGCTGGCCTTAAACCACCTCAGACCAGAACTGCGGGACAATAGATGGCTGTTGTGGAAGCCGCCTGGTCCAGAGTGGGGTTTTGTTTGTTGCTTTGTTTTGTTTTTAATGGGTGTCCTATGGACACACAGGTAGAGAGGGCCATACCCAAATGACCATATTCTACAAATCTTGTGATTTTTGTCCAATCTGCTGTACTCGTTTATTCTTTCCCTTAATGTGAAATGACTTCCAGAAAGTTCCCTGGTTTGGGAATAAAACTTCTACCTTTCCCATGTGTTCCCTGTGTGCTCAGCTAATTAAAACAAAACAAAACTAAACAAAACTCCACCTTAAGCAGAGATCGCCAGTTTTTTTTCTACAGAGGATCACACAGGCAGTATTTTCAGCTTATTTTTCTTTGTTTTGGTTTGACTGTTAACCAACAACAAACTGACAAACAAAAATATCCATTTAATTGCTGTTTTCACAAGACTCTAAAATATTAAACCTATTTTATCTGGTAGATACACAAAAACAGACCACAGCTGCCTTCTGCACTCAAGATGCAGTTGGCTGAGCACTGATTTTTATCTCCTCCCCCCTCTCTTTAGGGGGTTCAAGACAGGGTTTTGCCCTGTAGCTCTGGCTGTCCTGGAACTTCCTCTGTAGACCAGGCTGGCCTTGAACTCACAGAGATTCACTTGCCTCTGCAACCTGAGTGCTGGGATTGAAGGCGTGCGCCATCATTGCCTGGCAAGGTGTCATATTTTCCTTTTCATAGATGTGTTCAGGGTCCAGAGAAAGCAGGAAGGAAAGAGGAGAGAAGAGAGGGAGAGAGGTGACAGAGAGATACAGGGAGACAGAAAGAGACAGATAGAGAGGCAGAAAGACTGGGGGGCGGGTTCCATTTGTGATGCTTGGGCCCGTGGGTTTCATGTATTCTCAGAAGGGTCAGTGTATGCTAACTTGTGAAGTGTTTAACCTAAAGGGAAGCATAGGTCAGGAGAGACTATGACTTTTCAAACTATCATACTTTCTTGTTTGGCTTTTGGTATTTGTCTGCTTTTCATGACTATAACCAAGTGCCTAAGGCTGGATAACTTTATTTAAAAAAAAGTTTATTTAGCTCAGGGTTCCGGTCCCAGATCGAGAGGACCTTACTGGCAGCTGCAAATATCCCCAGAGCAGGTGTGTGTACCCATCCTCCAGCGTCTCCTACGGAGCCACTGGTACTCAGTGGTGGGGCCCCATCTTCGTGACCTCATGGAGTCTCCTTCAGCTCCCAGAGGTGCTGCCTATAAACATAGCAGGATTGCATTTTCATACCCATAACACCTCACAACGGGGATCAAATTTCAACGCACGAGTCATTTAGGGACTCATACCCAAGCCATATGCAAACCACAGCCGATGTGCAGGGTCCTCTGCCACCGTGACTACTGCAATGCTTGGGTGCAGCCATGCTGATGCCAGTCTGTGCTGCCTCTGAGTACCCCACATTGAGAGCCGTTCCTGTCCCCTCTGTGAAGAGGGGAGCGCGGCCCGTGTCATCAAGCGACTTTCCATTTCAAGCCATTTCCCGTTTCTCTTTTGCGAAAGGGAATGCTTACTCACAGTCTAAATGGAGGACTGATGTGCAGCTGGACGACACTTCTTGACGAGTCACGGACATTGTTCACAACTGATGACGCGGGGCCACGTCGCAGGCTGGGTAAGCATCCCTGCCACTGAAAGACGAATTGTGCCGCCTGAGTCAGAGTTCCAAATAGCCCATTCAAGTGTCCTTCCCAC